AGTATGGTATAGTTACTTGTATAAACGATGCTAGATATTTCCCCGTTATTCTTTTCTAATGAGATGCTACCATATGTAATGATCTAAAATGTGATAAAAGGTGAAAATGTGTTATCCGAATGTGAAACTATGTATTTTCTATGACAATTCTATTTTTTTTCCCGATTTTTTACCCTCTATTTCAAGTTCATTAATTTCTAAGGTACATGAATAACCTTTCAAATGTCACTTGTTTTTAACAGAATTCTTTGAGCCTTTGTATCGCTTTCTTATAAAATAGAAAAAGTAAACAGAATAACTTTATTTTTTCCCTTCATCATTTACATATACTTCTATGAAGACCCCCTGCATTTAGACTTATATAATCTTGTCATAACCCAGCACAGATTGTTCGTTCCCACGACCTTGGTAACACAAAAATTAATTCTTCACGATTTTGTCCTCGCAAACTGTACACCAGTATCGTATATTTAAATTTGTATCATTTTTACTTATTTACTGTTTACATTTGTGTCACTTTTTTCTTTTTTGTGATAGTAATATAATTAATGAGTGAAATATTATATAAAATTTGTTAACTTTAAATCCTTTCGTTACCATAGAAACACGATATGGTTTATTAAACATTTGAACATGAAATATCAGTCCTCAATTAATAAAATGTGACACATAACAATGTAATAAACACATTGGAATGATTGTCCTTTAGTTATTTTAAACGATAGAGAAACAGATAACTACATACATAATGATATATGGGAAGTATTTACTTCGTTGACACAAAATCTGTTCAAATCAGTCATAAGGCTAACTAGACAATTATGGTGAATGAGTAAAGTATAAGTAATACGGTGAATCTTTTTAACGTTTATTGTAAAAAATGACATTAGATACCTTCATTTTATGATCAAGAAAAAATGGAGATACCTGGCTTCAGCACTGACCGTCTAACGTAGATAAAAACAGCTTACTTCGTTGGATGAAATGAGTCATCGTTTTAAAAGAGATTAGATAAAAATGAAGCGGAGTAAAACAGATTAAGGAGGCAATAAATGTATAAATATCACCACTATAAAATACAAAACAAAACATGGCTGGTGTTGTCAATAGTTTTGAATAATGTAAAATGTAAAAGGCAGAGAAGCCATAGTAAGTTTTTATGACGTGGTAGACTCTTAATCAACAAACCCCTTGTGGCTAAGGGATTGCCTTTTAATGGTTGCGGCATCAGAATTGCAGCCACCGTTTATACCTGAGAGATCCTAAGAGGCGACTAAATGGGTTCGAATTACTGGAGTCTATGCATCTCTTAGCTCCTGCAGGTGAGGTGTATTAATTTTGTAACACCCGAGGTATGCCAAAGTCATCTCTCCTATTTTGGCGCCATATGACCTAAATTGTGTTGGTGCGCCGTAAAATCAAACAAATAAATAAAAAATGATAGAGGCCTCATAGTTAAAATGGATACTAGATTCAAGACCTTCTAGGAACAAAATCATGTTTCGTCTTGATGACATTGGTATTGTGTATTGTTAAGTCCAGGATAAATAAATAATTCAAAACTGAAATTAAAGGAAATGACAACCACGTGCCTCTCAACTAGAGGGTCGTAGAGTGGACACGACTATATTTCATAATATCAAGCCAGTCCTGGTTAATTCACGTACTTCTCGTACTCGAAAGTAGTTCGAATGGGCTATAAGCTTGATTTTAACAATGAAACACAGATAAATAATGTTTGAACTAAACGAAAGAAAACAGAATATGATGTATTAATCTTTTAAAGATATAAATGGACCAGACGTGAAAAACACAACTTAATGTTGATACATTGTTTTTGCAATACACACATCAAAACATAACAAGACACAAACCTCCCTAGCAGGATGACATTCAGAATATTTCAAATTAACTTCAGTTTCACAAAATATCAAATTATATGTAACCGATAGCTCTTATTCCCGCAGTCAATTCAAAAGAGCAGGCAAACATTTCAATTTAATTACAGAGTGCAGTTTTATATCTTCACCCTTCATTTCTAATTTTCCCACCCCTGTAACTAAGTAGTTGGTCATTTTCATCAATTCGTTTAACAGGTATTAAAAAGCTTGACCACCGGGTGTTCTTTACAATGTCAGCGGTCAGTTATTTACAGCTCGAGGCTATACTTACCAAAACGTCCGTGAAACCATTACAATAATACAGTAAATACATTTATTCTGCAATATCTTCATTTAAACATATACTTGTAAACTATAATATACAATGTATGTACAATAAATTGTTCTTTGATACTAGGCACAACAATTGTTACGTTCTTTCACTCTTGAAGCCCTGTTGAAAATGTTTTGTCCGGAAAAGCAGGATATGAAAGCTTTGACATCAACATAACAAAAACATTAATGTAGATTTTTACGTGACTGTGCTTTAAAACTACCATCTAACATTAATCGCGCAAAACGTTGAGAAGCAACATTCTTTCTCTTTTTAATTTCCATCTCAATAGGCCAATATCATTTATATGTGACTAATACAATGTGATGTTAGGATATTATTGAAGAAAATATTAGTAATAGTTACTTATAGTACTAGTATAATTTTAGTAAGTGTATTTAATTGGTGAATATCATAAATCATTAGGTAAAGTCATTAGTTTAAGAGCCGGCATTACTCAAGTTTAATGATGCAATGTAAGCTTCGCTTTCTTTCTGATATAAATTATAAATTGTTTGATACTTACGATATATAGAACATAACATATATACTATAATATTATATTTATAATACTGCATGTTTGTAACGTCGCTTTTCATTGGATAATCGTGACGTTTATATAATCTATATATACGGCTGCTGTCAATTTCTCAAAAAATGAAGTTTACATTTTTATAAATTCGTTATAAAGATTTTTGACAGGTTATATAACGGCCCGAGTTATATATACAACAACCGTTTTTATAAGGCCATATCACCTGTCAAAATTATCTAATATTAAGTAACAATATATATGGGTAGCGCAACACTTCAAGTCTGAAACTTCTTAGCTTGACTGAAGCTATTCCGTTCGCACGTTCTGGATAAAAACCATTTCAATTACAAATTGCTCGTCAGAATTGCATTGCATTAAAACGACAACTTAATACATAGATACAAAATATGACTAAAATGTCTTTTTGGACTTTTTTTATTTTGTTTATTGCTGTTGCTGATGTTCGTGTTTTTGTGACAGAAAAATGTGATATGTTAGGACTTCTTACTTGTTTTATAAAATGTTCGTTGGAACGATATGCTTTTTAAGGTCAAACACAATGGCATTTAGTGTTTTAGTACATATAAACAGTCAAGATATGTCATTATTATATGCCTAGAGAAAAGCAAGTAGATTATTATACTTAGGAAACTACCCGCCTAAATGACTGAAATACTGTTGAAAAAGGCGTAAAATGAAACAAACAAACATACAAACAGATTATTATACTATCCTTCTATAAGAAGTGATGTTAATTAAGTAAACTCGCGAATTAATTAAAATTTATACGATACATAGTTACAATGTACAACTTTGAAAAAGACACGCATTGAATTCAAATACATCATTCTTACATCTTCTTGATTTCCCGTGTTTTAAATTGTATTTGATTTTTTTATGAATTGTATTCTCATTTGTAATACTGGAACATAAACAAATTTATGTTTTGTACTTAATATAAATAAATGTAAATTTTCAAATGTTAAACTATCAAAAAGTGTCTAAAACCACTTCAATTAGAATGTATTTCCGTTATCATAATATTGTCTTTGCGGTAAATTACCAACAATTTTGAAAGTTGGTATGTCGATCATAATTCAATTTCGATTTTGCTTTTTATAATTAAGACACAGTCGGGGAGTAAGTTAGCTTGGACATATATACATATATCAACATTGATACAGTTCAATTAAACGAAGAAATAACATTCAATTTAAACGAAAATTAACAAAACTGAGCGCTGGCCAATTTGTTATTTATTTTATAGAGGCCTTACTAATGACAAAATATTTCATATAAACATGTTAAACGGGAAGGTATATTAAACGTTTTCGGGTAAATCACTATAATCTTTAGCCAATATATTTATATTACTTATTTCGTACGCTCCGCGATTTTCATAATTTTTGTCACAGTTTGATGTACAAAACAACCAAATATTATTAAAGGTCAATGCCATGGGAGAAAAGTTAACTCTTACATTAAACCTATGGGTGAAGTCATTATCTATGCATTAAATTTTGACTTTTAATATCCTAATTTTATCGCATGCAATAAACACCGGAAGTTAAAATTATAAACATAAAATATTGTTTGTGTTTGTATCATAAGGAAATAAGGTCCATTTGTAATAAACCTGTCTCAAAAAAACCCAATATTTGATATTTTTATATTGTTTAGATTGGCCTACAAATATACATTTGTATTGATATATTTTTATGAAAATTTCAGGAAAATATTATTTTACGAATCTTTGAATCTATATGAAAAAGTTCAGATGGTCATTCAAGGTCAACGGTTTTACATGAACAATTTAAATATCAAACTGATAAACAGTATGTATGGTTGAACAAATGTGAGGTCAAAAATATGTTTCCTACATTGCAGGAAAGAAATGGAAATGTATCAAAACCATTGTTTATGTATAATTTTTCACAAAACGATTTAAAAATAAATAAATAAATAAATAAACGTATCCTGCAAATGTCTATGAAACCGAAATTTTGAAAAATTTGTTCATCTGTATACAAATATAATATATATTTATATATCATATAACAATATGATTAATTATGTATTTGTATATGTATATAATTTAGGAGATAATCCCAGATAAAAATTAGAAATGGAGATAATTTTAGTGTTGGTTTGCAGTTTTGCATTTTGCATCTATTGGAGAAACGTTTATCAAATCTGTATTATTATATGTATGTCACCACATCGTAATTATCTTGTTGTATTTTTATTACAGACAGTAGCCACATTACTGAAGGAAACACAAAACTTATTTTAGCGTTACTATGGCAACTGGTGTTACGTTACCAAATAGGATTATCCAACTTTCAGAACAGAAGCTGGCTATTGGCTTGGCTACAAGCTGTAATTCCAGAATGTCACGTGACAAACCTGACGTCAGACTGGAACTCTGGAATAGCATTACAGTAAGATACCAGACCTTATTAGTTAATAAGAAAAAAAACAAACAAAAACGAAACACAGTTCGATTATGTCGGGAGCTTTTCCTTATACGCTTAAAGAAACACTCTCGAATCCGTTGCTGGGATCAACCATGTTTCTTGCCCAAAGAAAGGCTTGCCCCTAACGGGGTTTGAACCTACACAGCTTTTGTGTTCAGCTTATTTTGCGCATCAGAAGAATGGTATAACATGTTGTAAGATATGAGATGCTGTCTTCAAGAAATGAAGATGAATTATCATGATGTATTTTGTTCAAAGAAGGCTATTATTATGCACCACAGAGTGTTAAACTATTTTAATGATGAAAAGTGTCCTTGACTGATATGAGATTAATATCATATCAATAACAGGGTTAGAATTAGGGTTATTTAAGATATGTCTTCTACATATTCTATGAGTAGTATCATTTAAATAGTACATTAGTTTATAAAACTTACTCTACATATAGTTTAGTTATTTTTAAGTTCGAGAAAACTTTTCAGTTTTCATTTTTTTTCTTAAGAAAATGTGTATTATTTATTACATTCTAAGCTTATATGATAATCGTTTGCTTCTCTCTTTTTCAGCGCTTTATTAGAATTTTGCAAGACAGGTTTGAGTCCTGACTGGAAGCACCTGAACCCATTAGATAGGTAAGATTTAATTTTATGTAATTAGTAATGGTTCTGATTAATTACATATAACAAGTGCTTGTTGTAGCAGGGTAATATCATATCACAAGTGTAGACTGAACATAAACTATATTGTTAGGTAAGCCCCAAATCTAAATTGCTAGGACTAGTTAAAATTTGTTCTGATAGGACTGACCTAAATCTTAATGTTAAGACAGTCCTAAATCTATACTGCTCTAAATTGGTTCTGTTAGGTCTGACCTATATCTTAATAACAGGACATGTACACACCTAAATTTACTCAGTAAAGATAGCCCTAAATATATGTTGTTAGGACTAACCATAAACTATTCTTTTGGGACTGGCCACAAAATATACTTTTAGGATGAACCTAAATCTTAACTGTTAAGACATACTTAAATCTATGCTATCAGGACAAACAGTTAAGACTAAATCAATACTTGTTAAGACTGCATCTTCACCGTTAGGTACACTGTTGTGACAAACCTAAATCTATACTGTAAATTGATTTAGAGAACTGTTATGTCCAAATGTCTGCTACATGTCCTAATTTTAAAGCAATACAAACAAGTTCAGGAGATTTGTTTTTTTTTTCACTTTAAAGGGACTCTACTGAGGTACAAAATCATAAAAACATAACATTTGAATTTTTTACATAAATGAGCTGGGACCTTTTAACAGAAATACATGGAAATATAGTTAAGAAATATACTTTGAAATAAATTGAAAATCGTATTTTTATGCTTTTCTAAGCCCGATTTGAGCGAAAAGCGTTTAAACGCTTTTCATTTTGGGTCATTTTTTTACAATTTGAATAATTATTCTGAAAAAACGAAGTGCGCGAATGATCTTAAATTTTACACAAAGATTAGTGGTCTACATTTACATCAAATGGTAAATTTATCTGGAAAAATATTTTCAGTCCCACCATATCAAAAAAACCTCGGAGCCCCTTTAAAATGTTGTGGAAATAGTGCGATGGTAATAGGTGTGTATAGTTTCCGTTTAAGTGCGTATAATTAATTAAGTCAACAAATGTAAAATCTTAAAAGAGTTTCTATTTTAACTAGAAATATTTTAATTGCTTTAAATTTTGATTGATATTTATAACAAAGTGACATCCAAATGCATTAAATCCGTTTACTGGTTGATAAAAAGTACTGTGGTGGCGCCGTAGTTTGCCATGATTATTTAATTTAACTTTATGTCATGTTGGGTCGTGTAGGGCAAAAACAATTCTTTGAAATACAAAATGATTTCCTGCTTATTAAAACAAAAATTTTAAAAATGAAATCCCGAATATGTCACTCGAGTTTAAGTTTGTCAAGCAGTATAATTTGTTCTATTTTATTGAACCTACTTCAATACTGTCGCTTTGGCAATACACATGATTCTAGTACACATGGATATGTTGCCTCTTACCATATATATAGTATAGATATAAATTAGTTTGTACACATGTAAAATAGTTCATATGAATTATGACTTGTAAATTAACGAAAATCATGTGTAAATTCTCAGGTTTATATTAATACTGTTCATGCAATATTCGGTATACATTTGATACAATGATAAAAGTCGGATTAACTTCTTAGATTCCTACTTCCAAGATTAAGTCATCTATCCACAAATAAACGTTGTTTGGTTGTCCTCAAAATATCTTTGTTTGGATATCTTAAAAATGTCAATGTTTGTCTACGTGCTAGTGCAATTGTAGTGATATGTGGAGACCTGTCAGGTATATTAGACATATTTGTAGTAAAAACCGGCAAGAGTTGGCTACAGTTAGTGTTGAAAACACAATCATTTCTAGGGGTTTTCTTTGTCATTAAATGCCTCTTTATCAGCAAGAAACAATAAAGCAGTAAATATTGCCATTTCCCGGAATTATTCACTCATTTCGTTTTATTATCAATCATAATCATCAATTTAAGTACCCAAAATGCGCGCATTTAATGTAATACTGGCGATATTTGTAAACTATGTTTCAACCGTGAAATACTTGCTATAAAACCCATGAATACTATTAATATTCCTATTCTATTAATATTCAATGATATTTATATTCAATGATATTTATACATGCCGTGTGTGTAAATGAACATATCTCTCAGTGAAAGTGTATCATCTTTATATACTAATTTACATCTATCTATCATCGGATTATAAAGACGTTTTTCCCTCTCTCATTGTTGTATACCACTCACGCGCTGCGTTCCTGCATAATTTTACATACATCACTGATTGTAATACTCGTTAGACCGGTTTCGAGATTTAAACTTGATGAATATGTTAAATATTAAAGTCAATGTGTTAAAATTACTCAAGTGCTAAAAAGCAACATTAATATAGCTTAAATGGTGGTTCAGCTAGTCACGGTTGACGGGGTTTTAATGTTTTCTGGCGTGTTATTCATACATATAGCTATAAAATGTTACTTAATTGTTTACAAATACATTCAATGATAATAAAAACTTCATCTGTGAAGCCAATTTGCATAAAATCAGAGGTAAAAGGAGAACTAATGTAACATGCTTACCCTGAAATATATTTTAGCACGCTAAAAATGTTCAATGAATGTGTCCATCTGGCCTTGGTTCTAGTCTGTCAATATGTTTTACGTGTTGTGTTTGGCAAATCGACACTATCCTGCACACGATGACAACGAAATAGCGCGTATGTTATGAAAAAAGCAAAACATGACATCGCTTGAATCCCAGGCCTGTGTCCATCTTTCAATCAAGTCAAAAACTATTCAATATTTTAAGGAACATTTCAAAATATTTCATGACTGGATAATGAGCATTGCTGTCAATGGTCAGACAGAACAACAGGGGTGTTTTGAAGGAATTTTAACTAAGACAGTCAAAAACAGAACATGAAAATGTGAGAATAAACTAAAATGAATTTATGAATAATTATATACATGTAGCAGCAATACAAAAAGGTTGTTCACTTTTGTCATAGATGTGGAGCAGACCGGTTAGCTCTATAAGTAGAGCGTTGGACTGTAAATTGGGCGACCAGGGTCCGATTCCCGGACGGCGCAAGACACTTTCGTTGTGATTGATCATGAGATCCTTTCTACAGTCATTTGCACTGTACCTCTGCTCTGGCATGTACAGAAGATTCAGTTCCTTGCGAAAGTGAAGGCAACTAGTACTGGTAAACTGCTTGACAGCCTGTCCAGGAACGATGCGGTGGCTGAACTGTGCTCTGGTAAATTAAACGTGGCTTACTGCCGTGATTCGGAGATAAAACTGCCAACACCACCATCATCACAACGTGCACGCCATAGATGTGAATTATATTTTTTTAAAACATACACCACAATTATCTTAATGTTAAGTACCTGACTTGGGAAACATACAACACCTGTCAGTAACCGCTAAAACCACGTCTATATGTCGATAGATGATTACACCCATTAATTTCTTATAATGTCCGTAATTTTATATCGGGTCATCTGACCGCCTCGGGTACATGATCTTGTTATGATAACTGACCGTTGAATGGACACAATCTTTTAAAACGTACGTAGTTGACACTTCTGACTAAAAGATGAAGAAAAATAAATATTTACATAATTACAGATGAAGCTTTCAAATTCATTTTTTGTAAGATGAAAGATTAAAAATCTATTTATGTTTTTAATGGCAAGTTTTGTTTATGGCAAGATGAAAGGTTTTTTCATTTACATGTAAGTTATATGTAATAGGCGTGTGAAAACAAATGTGTCTTATATGAAAGATATAAAACATTTAACATACAATAGTTAAAAAAAATTTCATATGTTACTTTACATGTATATATACAATATCATTGAACTTGATATTATCAAACTTGTTATACAATATTTATCAAAACAGTGTTTCTATTGGCGCATCTTTGAATTGATATTAATTTTTAATTACTTAATTAACGGAATGTTTATCCTATTAAAGGAATGTTTAGGTGAAATTAACCGAACTGTTATGCAATATAACCTGATTCAATTCCCATCAGTGACAATGAATGTTCAATTGATGAAGGTTTTGGGAACGGTCTAGCTCCCCTTTTTTCAAGTACCGTCTCAATCCTTTATATTATGTGCAGCAAATTCACTCTTATAGTCTTTATCTTTATTGCGTACTTCACAGCATCCCTATGTCACGGTTCAGAACTATTCACTATTTACATGATTCAGGGGCTGCCATATAGCTCAGTCGGTAGAGCAATGGTATTCCGAGGGTCCCGAATATGTCACCAGTCATTTGAAGTACAAAGTGGGGATAATTTACCTTCATGCAATTTGCCAAAGATATGAATTTTAAGCAAAAAGTAGGTCAGTATTCGGCGGCCAATGAGTACCTGTATGTACAGTAACCTGAGACAATATGAAAAGGAGGTAGCCTTGTAAAAGAGCTGCAAAGGGCCCACCATTCAAGCCGTCACTATCTTTGCTAGGGGCTTACGCACAAACTAAAGACCATGGGTATTATATCTATATTGCCTCAAATAAAACAAAAACGTCAACAGTTGGAATCTGCTTGAAGAAACAGAGATCAATTATATTTTTCTAAACGTTACATCGTAGTATAATTTTTATTTAACTAGTTAGTAATTTAGTTAAAAACATACATTATCTATCTTATCTTATCTTATCTTATCTTTTGCAGAGTAAACAATTGTAGAGACGCCATGAAACTTGCTCGACAGCATTTCGGAATACCTCTGGTTTTACGACCAGAAGATCTTGCCAATAGTAATTTAGATGAACTTTCTGCCATCACATATTTGTCATATTTCACAAAGGTCGGAGCGCCTGGATACAACGCAACTCTTCAACGAATACAACCATTGGTCAAGAATTACCCTGTGTTCAATTTTACGGTAAGCCCATTATACCACAGAATCAAAAATAAATTGATATATTAAATACTTATTCATTTCCATAACATAAGAGAAGGACTATGTTTCATACAGGACACAATCGAAACATCTCCCTTTAGGAGTAATGCGCTTTAAACGAAGGTTGTAATTTCACTTCAATATTTTCCAACCGTGGTCCGAGCATTGATGATTTCTTTAATACGATTTTACTTGTAGCAAGTATTTCTGTTATAGCATACATATGTGTTATTGCTTTGTTGTAAACGATTATGTACGATTTTTCTGAAATAATCTATTTCTTAATAGCGAATCACCATATTTTGTTTTGTTTGATTTGGGTTTTACGTCACACCGACACAGTATAGGTCATTTGGCGACGTTCCAGCTTTACTGGTGGAGGAAGACCTCAGGTGCCCCTCCGTGCATTTTTTCAGGCACGAACGGGCACCTGAGTAGAACCACCGACGTTCCGTAAGCTAGCTGGATAGCTTCCTCACATGAAATAATCCAAAGTCCCTGTCGGGATTCGAACCCACAGCGGTGAGGGGCAAGTGGTTTGAAGTGAATATGTATTTCGGATAGATGGTGGCATTTATTGGAAAACATTTTCAAGGAAGGTGGTATTAATTGATATGAAAACTCTAATAAAATGTTTGTTCATTTCCTATTCAGACTGACTGGAAGGACGGTCGGGTTTTATGCGAACTTGTACATATATTCGGCGGTTCTATACCTTCATGGCCAGAGCTAAAAGAATCCAATATAGAACGATTGAATGAAGGTTAGTGATCACTAACCTCTAGAAGATAGTGGGATATAATTTTGAAGACTTTAGTTCTGAGTAACGAGGAGTTGTTATTGGCATAGAGTTTTCAAGATGACTCGAAATTCAACCCCAGCTTGAATTTCAATATTTAAAAAGTATTGAACTACGATTTTTTAAGCTAGCTCAAAATCAAGTTTTTTCAGATTTTGAGGCTTGCTCGAAATTCAAAGCTTGCTCGAAATACGGTTAATACTGAATTTTTGTCTTGATGTCAATGCAAACTCCTCGTAACTTTTTTTTAATTCTTGTTACTTCAACAACACTGTTAAAAGTTTAAATGTACTTCATATTTATTTAAGTATTTTATGACTATTTACACAATTAATCCATCGATATATTTTAGATAATAATACTTCCTATCTTAAAATCATGTTTTTTGATTTCCCATAAGATCATTCTTAATTATAAAAATTTTGATGTCTACAAAATAAATGATACGAGTTTCTAGTATATAAAGTTACGATATTATCGTATACATTGTATCATTTATTTCATAATGTTTTCAATTTCTCTTTCTGTATTATCAAAATTGGAATCTAAATCGCACTCTAGTATTTTCACTAAATCGTAAAATCTAAATTGTACTGTTACAAATATTAAGTACAAATGTAAACTGTTTGTTCAGATTTGACGTATCACTAGGAATAATCCATCTCCATATAGTGTTTATATGGTGTTTTAACGCAGTAATCAAAAGTTCGTCGTTTATTAAAGCTGCTCGCCTCCAGTTGAGCCAAAATATTTCAAATATTTCAAGAAAATCAATAAAAAAATGTTTTAAAACTTTAAGAAAGGTAAAAAACATTCAAGATCCAAGTTTTATGATACATGTTATATGTGGTTTAAGACTGCTTTTTAAGACAGTTTTTTATCACCATATTTTTACTGCATTACTAACGCAGTAAGGGCTATTTTTGCATATGTTAACCACTTTTTGGTAATTTTCTTGGATTGTAAGTGCTGATTGCAATGTGTAAATTGCTTTATTTGTTCATCTCAGACTATTTTACTTTTAAACACATTTCCAAATTTTTTCATGAAAATTAACATGAATCTGGAGGCGTGCTACCTTAACCCTAAGCTGATTTTATGCGACCGGTGCAGACCAAGATCAACCGGTACATCTGTCCCTTCTGCTTATGGTCTGCACTGTTCCATATTCAATCAGTACATGCTTTAAAACTTTCCCTGACAATGATGAATAGTCCAGACTGAATGATGGACAAGTCCATTTAAAACTTAAGCAATGTTGTAAGAGTAAAACAAGCACATCTGTATTATGATCTGTTATTTTCTTTACAAAATAATTATATTTAAAATACTTCTCGTATTTCTTTGCCACAATATTTTTAGCACGAGTTTCACAGAAATATCTGTTTGTGTCGCCTCTACGGAGTAGTGGCGACATATAGGGATCACTTCTCCGTCGTCTGTCTGTCTGTCCGTCCGTCTGTCCGTCTGTCCGTCTGTCTGTCTGTCCGTCTGTCTGTCTGTCTGTCTGTCTGTCTGTCCGTCCGTCCGTCCGTCACAAAACTTGTCCGGACTACTCCTCATAAACTACTGGTGCAATTTCATCCAAACTTTACAGGAATGATCAATACCAAGTCTAGTTGTGCATATTGTCAGCATTTTCCGGTTCAATGATTTTTGTCAGAGTTTTGGCCCTTTAATAATTTTTAATTTAAAGTTTGTCCGGACTACTTCTCTTATACCACTAATGCAATTTCAATGAAACTTTACAGGATTGATCTGTAGCTCAAGCTCTTGCGCATATTGCACGGGTTTTCCGGTTGAATGATTTTTGGCCGAGTTATGGCCCTTTGATAAAAAGGTGTTTTTTTCTGTGTGTTGCCAGATATGCAAAAGCTTGTCCGGACTACTCCTTATAAACAACTGGTGCAATTTTATCCAAACTTTACAGGAATGATCAGTACCAAGTCTAGTTGTGCACTGTCCGTCTATCTGTCCGTTTGTCACAAAATTTGTCCCAACATGAAATTGGCCATCATGAGGCGACACACCGTCAGTACCTTAAAATTAATCATCAATACGCGAAACCCGTGCTGAATAGTGATTCGGACGCTTAGCGATATACCACATACGCACACCCTGTAGAAACTAGCCACCATGCATAAGGTTAAGTTGGAATCCATGGATTCCATGGAAAGTAATCGATATCATATGCAATCCATGGAAAGTAGTACCCAACACATATAGTCCATTGAAAGAAGACTCCGTCATATACAAACCACGAAAAGATTCTGAAATGGTAGTTTCCTAATTTTAGAGTTTTGACCTTGAAGTTCCTTGCAAACTTAAGAAATAGCGATTTACAGATTCAATGCTGAGCGAATCATAGAGCATAATGGTTTCATTTAGACTGTAATTAGTACAAATAATTAATAGATAAAGAGTAACTTTTTTAATTGAAAACAATCAGCGTGCTTTAAATGTATCACCTTGCGGAATACCTCAGCTATAACATGATGTAACTTAATCAATTGTATTTCTTTTTGATCAAGATGTTGTAAAGTATTGTCTGTAGGCAATTTACTTGTTAAATACATTCCTCCCTAAAAAAGATTTATTGTTTTAATTTGCATCTACATAACAATTGAACCATTAGATTTTTTTCGTTGTTTCGTGCGATAAAGAACAGTTTAAATGTATTGAAAGTTTAGGTGTAGCAGGCTGGCATTAAAATGTCATTAATCTGGATTTTAAGAATGAAATATGTACTGGATTTTTCGATAAATACCTTGTATGAAGTTGAAAGTTTGTAAATAAACTGCTTTTGATACATTTGAAAAGTAAACTTTGATACAAAAGGATATTTCTGTGAAACTCGTGCTAGAAATATTGTGGCAAAGAAATACGAAATTTGTTTTAAGAATGATTATTTTGTAAAAATTACAAATAATAATACATATTGTTTTGTTTGTGAATATTATGTGATAATAGAACATTTATCGTAAACTATTTAAGTAAGTGGAAAGGTGTTACATTTTGGATTTCTAATTAATAATTGATACTAATTTTTTATTGTTATTAATATAACAATGAAAGCTGATATGGACTATAATTCATACTTACATAGTGACCTACGGGTGTATACTCTAGAAAAAAATCATGAGCACGCGAAACCCATGCTAAATAGTGATTTGGACATTAAGCCATGTTCCACTGAAAATCTGTACGTACACCCTGTAGAAACTAGCCACCATAAGGTGGAATCCATGGATTCCATAGAAAGTAATCGATATCACATGCAATCCATGGAAAGTAGTAGCCAACACATACAATCCATGGAAAGTAGACTTCGTCATATGGAAACCATGGAAACAAGCCGGAAGTTCGAATACTCGGAGGAGAGCAGTAGCCGACATTTCCGACACATTCAGTCGGCCGGGTCGCCACTTTTAAAGGTAAATGGTTAATTGTATGATATAAAATGTTTAAACTACATTTTGATATCTAGTCATGGAGGACAATGAGAACAAATGCTTTTAGGTTCATCATTTGTGCGTTTATAAATATGCATTTCCCTCCCTAAATGGTCCGTATATTCATTTTATTAGCAATCTTCTAAAACAAAAACAACAATTTTTAAAGACGATACTCAAGAGTAGATATTTCAATTTTATTGTTTTGTTTTCTTCTTTTTTTTTCTTTTTGTACGTATACAAAATTACTTTGATTTTATAGTAAGTTGTTCGCCACGGTTTGGTAATAGATTAGCTGCCTGTAGGCTGTTTTCAGTAACAGTTCGTTACGGTCCGTGAGAAATCAGTTTTACTTTTAAATTAGTATGGCGTTGTAACTTGTTAAGCTTTTACTCTTGTGCTAAACTAACGTCCGCCTGTTAAACGGTAAACCAAAACATGTATCACTAAATACCCTCTTATCATTTAAAATCAAGACAAGTTTGAATTGAACAAAGCTTTCATCATTGGCCTCTACATGACAAGATATCAAGGTGTATTCATTAGCATTACTGTTTACTGTGATTAATAAAAACATAACAAAAACCGACACCATATTGTTCTAGGCATCGATGGAGCCACGGCCATTGGCGTACATCCACTTTTGAGTGCGGCAAATATTGCCGAAGAGACTTCGGAACATCTCGGTATAATGGCATATGCCGCACGGTTCCTTCATTTCACGCCAGGAGTCATATCGTACGAACATACATACAGGGACACGAAGGTATATAACCACTTCCCGACTTATATGTTTAGAGTTTAGACTGGGGCTTAAAATAACCATTTTAAGTCCCAGGTTTAGGTCAGATCGGAACCATCACGCCCCATCCCTCACCCCTTGTGCGCGAATTGAAAAACTTAGGACTATTCACATTCTTTCTTGTGATTCTTAAAATGGTCCAAGTTTTTTAAATCCTAGAATCACTGACAGTTGTTCTTGCAAGGGTATGTAATGCATAGGGGAGGGGTGGGGACATTTTGGTGCTGCGGTAATCGGGATTCGAATTTAGCTTTGAAGTGACCTTTCCAGTGGCATTATCCCCCAAGTCCTGATACCCTAAAACGGTGTTCTACTTATAAAGGAAAATATTTTTTGGTTTTAATAATATTTCTGTATCTGAAGTTTTATAACTTACGATTTCAAACATAAATGCAACCCTTTCAAATTCAGTTTGGCACGTCAAAAATTTGATATAAACAGTAGATTGTTGAATTTCTAACAGAATTAAATTACATTATCTTACAGCTGAACTAACTTTATGTTCTCTAGACAGAGAATACAGGTGTGAATATGTAATAGGGCGATAATAATTACATTTTATACATGTAAGACAAAGATTGTTTGTTATTTGGTGATCGTTAAAAGTCGATAACTCCAGTAAATTTGATACGAAAAGTCGTAACATTGTTGTATATCGTCACTTCAGTACAGTAACGTGGTAAACTTCTTTGAAATTTAGTAGGAGTTAAGTCGTTATTGCACTAATTTTACGATATACTGTAAATGGTGACTAAAGTAATTGTTTACTGCTGCATCGATTAGCTTTAGGCGAAAACAAATTAGTGCATATTGATTGTTTATGGATGTTTTTCTGTAAATGCACAACATACAAATTATAATTGACAACTGTGGCTGAGGGGTTGCTTTTACCGTTTACAGCATCAGAATTGCAGCCACCGTTAAAACCTCCGTGATCTATTCGGAGTTTATGCATCTCATAGCTCAAGGAGATGAGGGTTTGCTTAAAACACCCGAGGTTAGCCAAAAACATCTTTCCTGTTTCGGTGCCATATGACAACAACTGTGTTTGTGAGCCATAGAATAAAAAGAAGAAAAAAAGAGAAAAAAGCAACAACAACTTTATATTAAAATGTGTAGCCAAAAGTTTCAGACGAAACACATCATTTAAACTATTCTTAAAACACGGCAAAATAAAAAAGTGAGCTCTTTCAAAATAATAGATTCATTTGCCAATGCCAACTTTTGGGAAAAAAATCTAATTATTCATTTTTATCAACTAGTAATTTAGACATAATTGTATTTTGATCGGTTAGGGATTTTGACATTTAAAAAAATCTATACTGTTTAAGAAAACAATGACTTACAATTAGAATCGTGTAATATATTTTGTGATAAAATATTATTTTCTATGTTATAGATTGTGCCACTGGATGAAAGTAGGACCAGCACATTACATAGCTCCACCCACTTAATAAATGGTAACAGGAGTAGGGCATCTTCACCGTTATCCTCGGCTTCTACTATAAAGTAAGTCAACTAACACTATCAGAAAAAAAACACCTGGTTATTTCAATAGGTAAACGTTAGACTGTGAATCGGGCGACCCTGGTTCGATTCTCGACAGTGCAGGTCACTTTTGTTGTGATTGATCATGAAATCCTTTTCCTACGTTCATTCGCACTGTACCTCTGCTCTGTACAGAAGTTATCAATTCCTTGCGATAGTGAAGGCAACTAGTACTGGTAAACTGCTTGACAGTCTGCCTAGGAACGATGAGGTGGCTAATCTTTGTTCTGGTAAATTCATTGTAGCTTACTGCCTTGATCCGAAGTGAAAACTACCAATACCACCATAGCTACCACTACCGTCAGCAAATTGAATGAAAAAAAAAGTAAATATTTTAACTGTTGGTTTGTTTGATTTTAGCGGATATGCGTTTTTACCAGTAAAAAGTCAATATAAAACAGTAAAATCAGTATGTATTTGTGCTTTTCAGAACATGTATTTTCGTGTTTTATAAAATTTGTTTTAATGCGTTACATTTACAAGGACATTTTTCCGTTAGCTAATTCAGCATGAAAAGAGTATAGTTATAACCCTGTTATTATTCTTCATTTTGTCTTCTTTGAATGGTCAAATACCACCAGATCTCTTTCTTACTAGTAATTGATTTAAAATGGATAATTATTACTCTATCTGTCTATAGATTGATAACAGAACAATCATATATTTTTTTTAAATTTTAGCGAATCTCAGCAGCAACTTGAGTACACGTTAGTACGTACACCGTCTCTACGTCGTAAACATCGTCAACGTATAGGTCCTACAGAAGGCGTTAAGAAAGACACGTACTCTGATGGCGTCATTATATATGCAACGGTAAGATATGTTTATATATGGTGTTCTGTCCGGGCCATTTTTGATGCCATATACTGCCATGTTTGTATTATAATTTTCTGTATTGTTTGTTTGTTCACTCTTATGCCCTTTATGGCCATGAGTTTTTGTTTATAAATTAAAAAAATCAGTTTTCGTGTTTTCGCACCTTCGTATTGTGTGTTTATTCTTAGAACTTCGTAACGAACAGATCAAAACGGTGATATAGCGATGGTCCTTACAGAATACTGTACTTGTGTTCATGTGTGAGCGCACTTTCATGCCGTTATCATGACACATTTGGCAAGAATAGCAAGAATGTTATGAATTATAAGCTGTAACTAATTATAGTCATAGATTATTCTAATAAATTAAACAAGCTATTTTGTTTAATGAAAAAGTGTAATTTATAGTTTTACCTATAACAAAAAAAATATATAGATAAAAAAACGCTGTTTTTTTTATAACTTCAACGCATTCACATGCGAGATGACAACGACAGCAATAAACTTTTCGTATTTTTCATACAATATATATGTAACATTCAGTATTGAATTACTTAGTGTAATACAAAACCTGGCATACAATTTCACGGTTAAGTCACTATATTTTTATGAGAATCTTACAAGCAAGCTCATTTTAACTTCATCAAGATGTTGATCTATATTTTACAGTCACATGAGACGGTAACTCCCGACGATATCCGACTTGAAGCCGAGTCCCCGACAGGTCGGCTTATCAAGATGAACGGCGACGGGATGTATCATGCACAGTTCGGCTCAGATGAGATAGGTACCTGTATACCATATAACACTTTTAAAGGGTCATTAGGCAGCAACAATGGTTTTATTTATATTTCCCAAAAAACAGAATTTGTTTTTGGTGCCATGTTAAAGTTTTGAAACAGTAAATCATTGACCAATTAGCGGAAACATGGTTTGCTTCTGTTGCTTTTTATGACAAGTAGTACAGTGTAGCGACTTGGTATTTAAGCATTTTGTATGGAAGTCAAAATACTACTTTGTTTACATTTTGCTTCTTTTATAACGAATAATTTCACATTCGGCGGAACTTATTCAGGTTATAAACTTCTAACTTGCTCTTTCTTCTAAATTCCATGTGTGCCCTTTCTAAAGAAAGATATATTTATTCTTTCTGATGTAAAAAATGCCTTTTATTGAAAATAGTCTGATCATAAATTGTATGTACTATAAGTGAAACCAAATTGACATGTACGTTGTCATGTCCAGTACCATTTTAAAAACCAGTCCAGTAATTAAATTACCATAGACTTATTGTGAGCCGTCTGTCCGTAAGTTTGTCCATATGTTTGCGCATTTGCTTTGGTAATCCGATTCCTGCAAATTATTTATGAAAAATAGAAGACTTTGTCCTATTCAATGGAAGTTAGGGAACATATTTACAATGTTTGAGTGTTCTGTTATGCAACGAACAACTTATAACTTATCTACATGTTACACTGAATAATTAAACATTTAAACTCTTATTTAAGACATTGCAATACTTGAAATCTGCACAATGAATTATATGTAAGAAATATATTTTTCAAACGTTTTTTTTCCAGGAACATGGCAGGTCAGACTATACATTAATGAGTCACTGGTTGACAACTGTAATATAGACGTGTGTGACCCTTCACAAGTTAAAGTCTCAGGTCTCCGTGCAGGAATGGCGGGAAATCCACATAAATTCTCGAGTAAGAAAAAAAATATAAAAACAAAATACCAGTTTAGCAATAACGTCGTTTTTATAACGATTTATAATTTAATTTGGTCACAAATCATCCCACAGTTAATCAATTCTACTTTTTAATGTATCTTTCTTGCATCCCCATAGTATATTGTTGTTCAAGGGAAACAACTCAATAAATCAGTTAAAACTGAGTCGCCTATCCATTTGTACTACACTCCTTATATAAGTTAACATCTTTGTGTCTATCTTAAAAGTTCAGAACCCTCGGGGTGTTATACCATTGCTTTGACACCTTCGTTATATAATACTTTAAAAATTGAATAAATATTGTAAACATATCAATGTCCGATTTTCAATAGATTTTAATGTAGCATATCATTATAAAGTAACATACATGTATATACTGATGTTGTTGTTGGTTATAACTTATGTTTACAAGGTTGCAATTCTTACTGAAATTACTTTGGTATGAAATTAAAAAGTTTAGAAGGTTACAGTTACAATTCACTAGTATAAAGTCTTGGGTTTTTAATAGACGCATTATTTTGTAATGGACAGTTGACTGCACGAATGCCGGTCGAGGTAAGCTGGAAGTTCTTGTTGAAAAGGAAGGAAGAAATGTGCTATGTAATTTGAGAGAAACACATACAGACGTGTATGCGGCCAGTTTTAACCCAGTGGTAGCAGGACATTACAAGATAGCACTGGCGTACAATAAAGCTGAAATTAGGGGTAACATTTTTACTTTTATTTTCTTTTTTTCCCAAATTTTGAAGTTTACAGTTTTCATATCATTTGTTTTGTAAACTTGTTTTCATTTCTTGTTAAAATTGAGTTTTCTTGCATGCTTTTGTTTCACTTTTCTGTAAATGTTCCGAATGAAGTTTTAAGGTTTTATGTTTTCTTACTGCTGATCTGCTTCATTCGAATCTTTAAGATGTAAAACTTGTCTTTTGATTTGCTTGTTCGTTCATCTCTCATACTAATGAAATTTATGACCAAATTATTACTGCCCCCCTCCCCTTGTGACTGAGGGGTTGCCTTCAACGGTTGATGCATTAGAACTGCAACCACCGTTTATCCCTGCGCGATTATATAGGTTTGAATTACTGGAGTCTATGCATCTCCTAGCTCCTGCAATTGAGGTGGATTGGGCCCCTGGTGTTGCTTTGGAGTTTATAATATCCGAGATTTGCCAAAAATCATCTTTGCCATATGACCTAAATTGTGTTGTTGCGCCGTAAAAATCAAACAAAACAATAAATCAAGCTATTAAGTTATGTCCATGTTCTCCCAGGGAATCAACTTTTATATGATATTTATAATTACTCAGTGATATTCGGATGAAAGAGTCTTAATGTGGAACTACAAAATGTTTCTGTTCATGCAGTTTCTTATGAACTATCTGAACTTAAATAGAACTTTGTCTGTCGTAAATACAGGATTGATTTCCTCTTGTGGTATGAAAATTACCATATTTCACTCGTGTTTACCGTCACTCAAACCACTCGATGAAAATAAATCTTGTTTTTTATAGAAAAAACTTAAATCTTTTCTATGTATTGTAATAGCCTTCATACTTAATGCCTCGTCTTGAGCCTCTAACTTTTTTGGCTTTCAGGAATTGTGAATTTCTCAGACATTGAAGGTAAATTGCGTAGTATTATATTTCACTTTCCATCTAATCATATAAGCATTATAAACATTATAACATTTTGCTACCCTTTTTATCAATTTCATTTTACACATATTCTTATTCTCTTTTTCTCTCTTGATAATTTTAATCTCAAATTTCTTTATTTATATACGGCTACGTGAATGATAACATCTTTATTGCAACACGTATTTTGTTATTTTTTACCTTAAAAAGTTATTAAAATGATATTTTGGAGAAGGCTGCATGCCGGTGAAATATGATTGCACAACGCATGCTGTTTTCTATTAATATTGCATGATTAAATATAATCTGGTTTCTGAAAAAATAAGAAAGACGTGTCCGACATTCTGTGTATTATTTACGACAAAGTTTGTGAAAACTATAAAAGCACCTTTCATATAAAAGTATTATCAGTTTAGTTTATGATAGCATAAATTATTTCGGAGGCGTATTTTTTGATGCGCGTTGACTGCGACGTTGAGTTATTTAATGTGGCGGATGATTTAGTTTATTGTTTAACAATTATGAACTCTGTATCAGAAACTTCAGACGGTTTAATATATGTATCAAGATCATCTGTGACTGTACTTCAAAGCTCATTCTTTAAACAATTTTCAAACAATATTTTATTCTTTTGGGCGCCGTGCTATTGGGCATTGTGGGGGTTGCGTTTCGTAAATGATGTTCTTCTTCTTGATATTTATTTTCAAACTTAATACATAATGGAATTACCTAATAATTTAACGACAAAATTGTGAAAAAAATATAATTTTTGTTTATCTTTTTCCTGACTTATTACAAAGATTTTTGCTATTGTTATAATATTCTAGAGTTGTTATTTGTCCTTTATATAATTATCCTGTAACTCGTGTTTGAATGTAGCTACTCACTCTTTTGGCTTTACGCTAACTTTTTAAACTTGTGTTTGTTTATTTATTCTTATACCTTCATATCTACTATTAATCTGTGCAGTTTCTTTATATAGACGTTCTCCATCTAACATCTTTTACCTCTTTTATCATTTAAATGATTATGTCTTATTCAGATTTTTTCTGCAACTGTTACTAAATATAGAAACTTTCATTTATGAATCTCCTAAGAATGTGCGAAAATATTGAGTACAAATGAATGAATATGCTAAGTAAACTAATTGAAATATTCGTTAGGATGTTTGTTTTCAGTTGATTTTTCTTTAAAGATGTCTTTTGCATTGTATTTTCAGTGTTTTATACAATCTTGCAGGTACAGTTATTTACATATGCCAGCGAGAGCCTCCTCTGTATTCTATGCTTGGCAATAAATTCCTTCAAGGGCGTTTGCAGCTGGTAGTTGAGCATGTGAAAAAAGCAATGTTCTCAAAATATTCTAAAAAAATAAAAGGACATGCAAACTTTTATCAACATGTAAATGAACATGTTTAATTTTTCATCCATGCCAGAGTTACCAATACATTACTGAATGTTTACGTAAATTTACAGGAAATGATGGCCCCTCACAGGAAGAACTTCATAGAAGAGCCATATTCTCTACAGCAATGCAGCAACAACGTGACCACTACAAGATAACAGCCGCATGTAAGTTACTGGATACCGTGACACGACCGTGACCACATATCGTGACACAACCGTGATAGCTTTTATCCAGTAAAACAAAAATAAAATAGAAAACTTAACGAATATCCAACAGGGCTAAACTGGAAAAGTTTAGTTATGCCGAGTATTGCGTTCAATTGGCAAAGCATGCTACCATTAATATATAAGAGTAATATTCATAGATATTTCTTAAAAAATAAAATTGAACAAAATGGTATTATATCAACGACTTCTTTATGAAATTGTTTTGATAAGGTCAGTACTGTTAAATAACAAATTGCCTTTAATGTGACATTGTAGAGGGCTGCGTTCTTTGCACCACGCTCTGCTTTGCGCGCCTCCCGTGTTCTTATATTGTGTACTTGTATATAAAGTAATAAATTATTAAATGTTGAAGTTAACAGGCACGTGTAAGAACATTGACTAAATCTGAAGAATTTAGGTCTGGAGATCACCAGGTTACTTCCAACTCCCTTATAATCGTCCGCTGTTACTTCTAACTCCCGAGTAAACGCCCGCTGTTACTTTTTACTCCCGAGTAAACGTCCATCTGCTATTATAGATACATGTACAGTATTAAATGTTTCTTCTTATTTTTAAGGTGACTGGCAAATAGATTATATGACTGGAGGTCCTATAGATATGTATATAGGTGATACAGCTGATGTCCGTGTTTACAGTATGCAAGACGGAACTGTCTGTAACATTCCACATCTTATAGGTAGGTCTTTAATCTCTAACTGTCCTTGTGTGGATTACCGAACGGAATTGTGTTAAAAACGACTTGAAACTTATATTTTTTGTATGCCACTCATTTTGTTTATCATTCTTTCATTTCATAACACGCAACACATTTACATAAATAATCATATAATATATTCTTAATTCAAAGGTTTCATAAACCTTTGAACACTTTGAAATATATTCTTAATTGTTATCTTTATATGTAGGTATTGAGACATGTAAAATCGTTTCATTAGTTGTTACAAAATTTAGATTTTAGTTGGAAAAAGTGAACATCTGTTTGGTTATTTAAGAACCTATGGTTCTTAACAAAGATATGTTATTCAAATTATAAAAAGTTTTTTTTTAAATTTAACAGCTGATATTTCGAACTCGTCACCAGGTGGTACTCTCAAAGCCGAGGTGCAGTATGGTCGTCATCGATTCCCTGCTGATGTATGAATAGTCTTTTTATATTATTAGTTTTATTAAATATTATTTAGTATTATTATCAATAAATAGTTAAAAAAAGACAGCGGTGCAGAATGGCCGTCTGCGATTTCCTGCTGACGTATATGTTATGTACAAAGTAATTGTACATGCACATAGTAATATGTCAGTCAAATTCCATAATTTGTTTAGGTATAGAAATAGTTGATTTACCGTACGTGTACAGTCTTTATTAAGATTATATTTGTATTATAATTGTTCTTCCTCTGATACCAAGAAAGGTTTTATCTATCACAATTAGTTGTTTCATCATATGATATCTACTAATTGTATATTTTTGTACAAATTGTATATCTCCGTACTTGTATATCTTTGTTCTAATTTGTACACCTTTGTACTAATTTTATGTCTGTACTTAATTGTATATTTTTGTACTAATTTTTACTAAATTATATATTTTTGTACTCGTTAGTTTATCTTTGTACGTATTTGTATATCTTTCTATACTTATTTGTATATCTGTACTTAATTGTATATCTTTGTACTAATTTGTATATCTTTTTATCTATTTGTATATTCATTAAGTTTACATGTATCTTTGAACTTATTTTTTTATATCTTTCTTCTTATTTGTATATCTGTACTTAATTACATATTTGTGTACTAATTTGTATATTTTTGTACAAAATTATATATCATTGTACTAATTTGTATATCTTTGTTATAATTTGTATATCTGTACTTAATTGCATCACTTTGTACTAATTTGTATATCTTTGTATTAATTAAAGTGATTATTATTACAGGTAATTGAGACAGATCAACCAGACATATACAAGATTGTGTTCACTCCAAAAGGTCCAGGTACCTATAACGTGTGGATCATTTATGATGGTCACCTCGCCAAAGGTATTCTATATATTTTTATATTCTTTCCAAAAATGACCGAGGCATTGCTTTGATAGGCTTAATTCCTAGGACACAATGTTATTCTGTTACAGATTCTGTTACAGATAATACTTATATTGAAATGCATGTATATACATGTTTAATGGGAGATATTCATAAAAATTGTATTAAGGTCCGTGCAATTTAAAACCGTTGACATTTGTTTCATATTGACAAGGGAAAATTGAGGTTAAAGCTACAAATATAATGAAATAAAATGTAATGAATTGTACAAATGCTAGGTATCTCAAGCAAATTACCTCCCTTTTTGTAGAGAAGCTGCTTTCGTACATTTTGTTGCGATGAATAGAGATATATTTCATTATGTTATTTCATGTGCTGTTTCCGTTATATACTTTAAATTAACATTGATTATGCTGTATATCAGTGTAGTAATTGTATTGATTTTGATATATAATTTGTAAAGTTTCGATTATTCAATCGCTATTTTTTCTTCTTCTTTTTGTTTGCTCTCATATATAAAGGACCTTATATTATGAAAGGTAATTATAATATCACTTTCAAACGACTATCATTGTTTTCATATCTTCGTCGTCTCTTAATTGTCTTTTCCAATTATAATGCTATTTTTTCTGTCCTTCTGTATTTTGTATTGTTTTCAAAAATGTTTTTCCCATCTTTTTTTTTGCTTTTTTATTGCGAAACCAAGAACTAAATTTTGGAACAACTTTTTTACATTTGTAACTGCTGATTAATTAATTTGAATATTGCGAAGTATCAGTTCTAAATTGCTAACAGAAAAAAGTACCGCGGAAGAATTGATTGAGATTTTGTTCGTAAACTGTGATGAATTTTCTGATTATAACCAAGATATAACCTTTAAACCACCTATCTACTATATGGTTTATGACTCTCGAATTCTCCCAACTATCCGTCAACTATGTTTCAAGTCTTTAAACTTCCTCACTATTGGCTGTGGCTTTCTTAGTGTCCTGTTGATACATTAAAGGTACCCGGTTTACCACCGTTTCTAAATTCGACATCACACTGTATCTCCTTTACTTCTTGTATGCCAATATAAAACAATTTCTTCTAGATATAGAGAGATAGACATTTATTTGATTAATGCTTACATCATGACATCAAAAAACCAGAAATATTAAAACATGTTAAATATAAATGGAGTTAGCAAATAGCATATATAACAAGGACTACCTTACACTAAACTTTTTTTATTGAACAACAGACAGCAGAAACAAATGGAATGGTGTAAAGACAATATATAAGAATGTTGACCGATTGTAATTAGACTTAAGAAATTATTGACCATGACAATTACATATCCACTAATGGTACAGACATTTTGATGAAAGAATCGATACCTGGATAAGTTTCTGTTTTTAAATCACACGATAAATATGATATCATCTGTACGAATAGAGTAAAAAAATCTCAGATGCCCCCTCATGCATTTATTACAAAAGCTAACACATGAAATCATGAAATCCCTGGCGGATTTGCGGCTAACCCACAGCGGTGTCAAAATCAGCAAATTTCACCAATCGGTCACGGATGCAACACCTAAAAGTTCATTAATCAGTTATGATTAATCATCTCTACTTTCATATTTATCGTATCTTTAAATCTACAATCATTGGCCTTCATTAACAAATACACTTTTTCTGTTTTTCTTCATTCTAAGCATATCTTGTCACCACCGTTTTTTTCTCCTCAATGACTCATTTCTGTCAGCTTTCATTCAAAACTCAAATTATTCTATTTAGTAACATATGTTGACAAATTTCATTTTGTAACTTGAACTTCATTTATTATGAAAAGCGTAGTTAAAATGTCAACCGAATTATGACTTACACCTACTCAAATTCCTACTTTTATTTCATTATCAGATGCAAACATATCATATTTAGAAAGTTGTTTTATAATTTATTGCAGCCAAAACTTAAATTAAAATGTTTTCAAATGTATCACATGTGAAATTTTGGAGCGACATGAAAATATGCTCCAGTTGTCTAACGATGGTTTATTTTTTCTTATTTCTTGTACTTTGGGTTCATTCAAGGGAGGAAAATTGCACCAATTTCGATAATAGACAAGTCTTTCTTCCTGCTGATGATGATTTCAGTCAATTTTATTCTTCTCCGGTTGTAGGAAAAATGTACTTAATAAATAAGATGAGAATAAAGTTGTTGAAAATAATAGTCACAATTAGATTCGCCAAAATGAGCAAAATAGACATACCGAACGAATGAAAGTACACGTACATGTTTATACGATTTATGGTTATTTTTATGATGCATTTTAATCCTGTCACCACAACCAGGCTCGCCCTTTATACAAGAGATTGCGGAGCTTACATCGCCTACAGCAGAGGGACCCGGGTTGATTAAAGGTGTGGTCGCAGAGCAGAGTGAATTTACAATAGACGCTCGAGGATTTCCAGGGGACGTGACAATTGATGTAGAGGGTAAATACTTCTTGTTTTAAGATTATTTTGATACAAGAATTAATGCTTGAACGTACTTGAAAACACAAAAGGTATTTTGATTTATACAACGCTACATTAAGGCATGCTAAAATGATAATAATAATCTGTTTACATCAACAAATTAAAGACTTTCGTTTCGTTTTGTTTCGTTTAGTTAAAACATATTTCTTTGAGGTCGAATTTGATGAAAATTTTCAGCTTATTTGAACAACGCTCGGGAAGGCATCATTGAACTTAATGGTGTCATAAGACAAAACTTAGCTGTGAGTCTAGTAGGGTTCCAGACCATGATACTGCGGTTAAGGGATGGACACTTTAAGTAACCAAAAGGCCAATACTTATCTTTCGTTTTATTTAGCGCCCTCCTTTTCCACATTTGATAATACTTTGAGCTATATTAAACAAAAAATAAAATATAAAAACAAACAATTAATGTTAAGGTCATGACTTATTCAATGCACATTTTTATCTCTACTTAAGATAGTGTAGGTCGTCACAAAAAGTTTCGGCGAGAAAAGGCTGAATACTGAACTTGCTTGAATTTGTTTATTTAATCGAAAATGAAAGTATGAACACTGCCATTAGGTTATTTAAGAGTCTAGCCATAAATTGATTTGATTTGTTTATATGATCAGGTCCCCATCATCCTATTAACAGTAGAGTAGACACGAATCCTGACAACACACACAAAGTTACTTATGTACCTGAAGAAGTTGGTATACATAGAGTACGTATAAAGCTAGACGGAAAAGACATTACAGGTAAACACTGTTTTACCAATTATTATATGAGCCGCGTCACAACAAAACCAACATAATGGGTTTGCGACCAGCATGGATCCAGACCAGCCTGTGCATCCGCGCAGTCTGACCAGGATCCATGCTGTTCGCTATCAGTTTCTTTACTTGTTATAGGGTCTGTAAGCGAACAACATGGATCCTGATCAGACTGCGCAAATGCGCAGGCTGGTCTGGATCCATGCTGGTCGCAAACGCACTATGTTGGTTTTGTCGTGACGCGGCTCATATTGTGTTGTTTTAAGTAAAGATAGATTTAAGTTAAAACAATTTATTTATATTCAGGTGTTGATGATTTTTCTATCCTAAAATTGTGTTTTTAAGAAACAAGGGATCTTCCTATTTACAGGTATTTTATACTTAAAAGAGCAGGTGTTAATTGATGTGTAGCAGCTTTTACATATTGCACCGAAATCGATTCAGTATTTTTATATTTATTCTGGTTCTTCTGGATTATTGATTACAATAGTTTTAATGTTGAGTATTAAATACCGCTAAATCCGGTGCCAGGGGGCGTGCAAGAAGTTGCGCTTTTCGTTATCTCTAATGATAATAAACTCAATAACACCGAGTCTGCAACTTTAACTATTTGTTTTAATGCTGTCGAGAGACCTCCCGTTTCCATAGCATATTTGAAAGATATAAGGGTCTTTTGTACACACTGACTCGACTATATATTCAGTAAGAGACAAGTGTTTTGGAATAATTGTCATAAATATGTAGACAAATATTCTACCGGAAACAGACAAGCAAATATATCTTCATACCCTAATAAAACAAACTTTACTTTATACGACTTTGTTTTAATTCAGTTGTGTTGGAAGCTATAAGCTTATTGAAACACTCTCCAATCCGTTCCTGAAAACCAACCAGTACTAAGCAATGAGTGTAAAGTTTCTTCCTCATGGAAACAACGGCTTGCCACTAAAAAAAACAAAAGATACCCAAACTTTGATGAATATTGTCTAAATGTTGGGGGTATAATTATTGTTTCAGGAAGCCCGTTCCATCCAAAGATTGTAGATCCCACTCGATGCCACTTGTCTGGTGAGATGCAGCCGTACCTAGAACGTGGTGAGAGAATCCCTCTAATGGTTAACAAGGAGAAACATCTACCTTTCGACGCTTCTCGTGCTGGACCAGGTTAGAACTTTTTTCAGTCAAAATTTATTTCGGTTTTTCATCTGACGTCTTTTAATTAATAACATTCGGGATTTTTTCCCAGCTAATAACGTAGGTACAAACACTCTTTTACAGTTACAGCGAAACAGTTGACTAATCTTTTGTGACGGGTAGTGCACTATGAAGCTATAGCGGTTAAAGTTAGTTTATAACTTTATACCTATAGATAAGCTGGGAAAACCACACATTTGCCGAGTTCCGCATAACGTCTATTAATTATATTTTAGAATACATTGCTGTTTTTTTCTAAACTTTAACTGCTCCTTTTTGAAGACAAGAAGAAATGCATAGATCCTGACCTATCTAGTTAATAATCAGATCAGTTTATATAATAAGAATTTCAATACAACATAATTGTTACCAAAAGAGCACATGCCAATGTTTGTGGTTAAATTTATTGTTATCAGAGTAGGGATCTATCATAACAGTTACTTCAGCAAACCCGTTTTTTTAAAGTTTAATGATGTACAACACTAATGTGTACCCATTTTCTTTTTAAATCATCGCAATCACAGAATTTTTTCTTCCAAACGGAGGATTTACTCAAGTTTGAATGCTTAAAAGAAAGTTTGTACATAAATCTTTTAACCGTAGATGTGATTGTGGAGTTTGGCCTATCTTACCTATTAAAACGGACTCTTTATAAGGTACTCTGACTTGTGGCGTCGTATTTCACCTTGAAAGGTTTCTGAATTATTTAATCCGTTAATTTATTTGACATAACGGGAAATGAAACAACCCCGTCGCGACATCCTATTGAACACCATTGTCTGTATTTATAGGCAAAAACTCAATACCTAAAATTTACTAAACGTTTTGCATCACTTCTAACTTCTTTGAAAGAAACAAAAATCAATAATTTGAACTTTCTTCATTTAATTTTAACGCAAGGTTTACTAATAAAAGATCTAAATAACTTTATATGATCACCTTGACTTTTTTCACGCTTCTTTCGATTCATAACGTAAAAGCTCTGGCGTGGTTCCAAAATGAGACCAAAATTAACTTTATATTTAGATTGGACAGTTTGTAACATACGTTTAGATACACACATATATTGAGTACTTTTTATGATGAAATCATTTGTAATTTAATCAGTTTGAAAAATATTGAAATGAAAGGGGATAATTTATATTTATGTACAGGTGAGTTGACGGCAAATGTTCACGGTCCTAGTGAGAAGGTTCCTGTAACTATAGATGCACGAGGCGATGGCAAACATACTCTTATATTTACACCAAAGGAAGAAGGTAAGTTTATTGTTGTTATAATTCCAAAATGAAATGTTTTACTATACTTTTATAATATAGTCTATTAAAAGAAAAAATAATCAAAATTGTTATTAAGATGCATCATAGTTTGAACAAACATGACAAAAGTATTGATAAGATGGGTCGTCCGTAAACGAATGATTTAGGTTGTTGACTTTAAACAATTTGCCCCTCACCTCTGTTGATTCGAATCTCGCTAGGTTCTTTGGATTCTTTCATGTGAGGAAACTAGCTAGCAGCGGGCGTATGTGTGTCTACTCCGGTAAAATGCACGGAAGGGCTCATGAAGACTTTCTCCACCAGTAAAGCTTTTAAGTCGCCATATGACTTATACTGTGTTGTTCCGAATTAAAAAATGTATTGTTGTACTATACTATCAATGATGCTTCATCTCTTTTACTTACTTTTTGTTTCAACAAGAAATATTTTTACAACTAAAATGAAAACAACATTATTAAATGCATATATGCATATCTTTGTCATATATTGTAGGTAAACACTACATCGATGTGTTCTGGGGTGGTTTTGCTCTTCCAAGATCTCCATATTTGGGCTACGCAACCCCGTACCAGCAAGATCCTGAACCCTTTGTACATATTAGACCCACGTCACCCGTCCATGTTAGGTGTGTATTTCAATTGTATGCCAAAATCTATAATTATTACGAGAATGGCGGGTGGAATTTTCTTTATGATTTTCGTTACAGGAGTTTAAAAATTACTGCGATTTCCTTTTATTAAATGTAGTAGTGTAGTAGATAAAATTATAATAAAAGCATAAGAAAAAGGAAAACACAATAACAAAGTTAACGAAAAAAGGAAACGATCAAACACATTTAAAATAACAATACATTGAGTTAAAGTTATTTACAATTACACTTGTTGATTAAGGTGAATTATATTAGTTGTTCTATATAGTTTCAATGACCGCATGAACGTTTGGAATCAGGTAGGCTCCGGTATTATTCGTAGCATTTTCTCAATCAAGACATTATTCATTAAACTTTATCAAATATCTGTTCAATAATCTCTGTTTTGAAATAGTGAACTAACTATGTTTTAGGAGTTTTCACAACAGAGTTCTGAAATTTCAATGTAGCATACTTATTCAGTGAAATGTCTAAAGTTATTATCAACAGAGTGTCCATACATCCTTTTTTAATCTGCAGGACTGAGCCAGTAACACGTAATGACTCATATCGACGGTCTGAACCTCCTAGTGGGTACTGGGTTCGAGCCGACAACAGACCGAATTCACCTGATAATGGACCTCATAAAGTATACATTCTGGCACCAACTAAATCAGAACCGTCAGTTCCTAAGGTAAATATACAACTGAGACAATAAGCACAGTTATGGTTGCGTTTTCATATTTGTAAATGTTCCATGTTAAAATGTATGTGTTTGTACTGTTTGCTATTGCTATCGGTCACGGAACAGGGTGCTTTGTGGCTAGATTAGGGTATTCTGAACGGCAATAATTTATACACCGTGTTGGCTATGTCTGCCTTGTGTTTGGGGTCCTCCTCGGTTCCTGGCCGCTGGGTCCTTGTTGCTTGGTCGTGTGGGGGTTGCTTTCATTGTTGATTTGTTTAATATATTTTTACATTCACAGAAAATTGTATTCAAACCACTATAAAAAAAATAAATGACAAATATGTGCCATTGCTTTATATTGTGCATATAAGTGCATATTAATATTTTATTGGCAAACAATGTCTAAATTTATTGACCATTTCTGTTTATTTATGATATTTGTAATTATATTACAGGCGACGACTATACCACCTACACGTATACGCGTACACAGACATGGCTCGGATATTTCACCTATAAACAAACAAAGATACTTGCAGCCAAAACGTACCGGAAGTATATATTCCGGCAGCTCAGGTATGACCCCCCATTTAGATGTGTTAGTTAGTTGATGTGAAAATATACATTACATCATGTTAAAACTGTTTTACAAGAGCATTAATGTTTGAGTTTGATTTTAGAATCGCTCTTTTTTGCTATTTTACTAACATAATTTTCGAGTGTCAAGTATAATTGATTTCATCTTATTTCACTACCTCATCCAAGTTTGCCGTGAATTTGCTGTGTTTTCTGACATATAAACGCTCAACGACCTCTAATTAAAACAATTGAAATAAAGCAATTCTACCAAGAATTCACTGAAAACCGGACTTTAAATATTTGTCGATAACTTGTTTTTAAAACAACAATTGTAATTACAAGTAATTAGAATTTTCTATTTCTATTTATATAGCATAATTATGTATCTTTTTTATGTCGTTGAGTATTTGAATGTATAACATCTTGCTGTGTTCACATTCACAATTAACCCTTAAACTAACCCTCCCTTTTCTCTAACAGTGTCTGCTAAATCTGAACCAAAGAGGAAAAAAGAACCAGATGTTATGATAACCCGTCTACCCCGAGTTACACCCACCTATCATTATGAGCCGGCTAGCATGCCGGATTTATATGTTTACCAAACAAGTCCCCAAAGCTCATCACCACCGTCGGTATCACCGTCTTATATCTATGCTAAACCGCAGAAATCACCACCCGATAATAAAGGTAAAACTGTGCCTAGGTCTTGTAAATTTGCTTTAATTGGAAAAAGAATGTGTTCTGATTATCAATTACGAGAGCTACGTAAATCAATAAGAGGGAAATACATCACAAGTGTAACGATGGACTTGCATTGATGATGTTACGGAACCAGTAAGACAATAAACGAATAATTATCGAATAATTGAATTATGTTGATACATAACACTATTATGAGATATAACATTTTGTCTTATTCTGAATTAATATATGTGTGTTATTTTTTTCTCTCATAAACGCATTTGCATACAACTGTAAAATGTACTCTGATTATTTAATGCGTAATTTTTTTTTACATGGATATATATTTGGATATTTGCATATTACTTTTCATTTGAAACAAAATAGTTTTGATACTATTTTTATAGTTCATTTCTAATACAAAAACGATTGACTTTTGATTTTCAAAGTTTGTCTAACATGGTTTTAATCACCAGGTCCTAACCCTAAGGTGGTTCTTCGAGGGAAAGGTTTGAAAGAAGCAGAGTTGGACAAACCTGCAACATTTACAATAGATGGTCGGCAAGCTGGCCCAGGTAAATATAATTATTTACCTTTGTTATAGTTATGAGAACGGCCGAATTTTAATAGACTCACTCAAGTACATATACAATGTATTCAATAAATTGTATATTATGGAAACCAACATAATATCAAATTAAATTGTCCATTACTTATAGATGACATTACAATTAAACTGCATGTATAAAACTGAGTAATTTGCAATGTTCTAGTCATTTACTGGACATGACGAACTCCTGCTTTTATCTAAAATAGACATGACGAAGTCCTGCAAGTGTCTAAAACGGACATAACTTAACTAAAATGGAAATAACGAACCCCTGCTATTATCTCAAACGGATATGTCGAACTCCTGCTTTTATCTTTATTTGACATGAGAAACTATTGTCTTTATCTCAATGCTGTTATATACAGAGGAACTTTTCACACTATCTCTTATGGTCATAATATAACTCCTGACATGGATTCTAAATTTATTATATCTAGTATTAGGGTAGACTAAATGAAAAAAGAATAAACATAGAATTAAAAAGAAAAAACATTTTGAATTCTTACCTATATTTAAAAATCATAACATTTCGAGATAGCTTTTTTATTTAGTTCGGAGTTGGCCTTAATTTTTGTTTTCATTCTTATATGTCACAATCATTTTCTGGCATGATGAACGCTATCACCATGGTGTTGACAATTTAGGATTACTGTTTTACAGGAAAATGTGAAGTAAGGTTAGAAAACGTGTCTAACCTTCATAAAACTGGAATTGTTTTCCAGTGTGGAGAATCTAAACACGTGTCATTTGATGATGATGACAGTGGTGTCGTCGCAAACGGTATAAAAATATTGAATACACCCAAAGCTTTCAGTAGTTTGATGCACATCGTCCGTATGATGCCAGTTAATTTGAATTTAATTAACATGAATTTCCCGCGCAAAATACGAGCATCCCAAACATATTTAACCGTTTTTGTACATTAATATTGATTTCGTTATTTAATTGTGATTTTTACAACATTGCATGTGTCTGCCTTCCTGTAACTGTTAACCATTCTTTTGAAACTCTGTATCTTATCATTTTACTAAATCATTTTGAGAACTTATTAAAGAATGCTGATATTTAAAGCTTTATGAACTTTTACAACACTCACAGTTTGTCCCTTTCTTAACAACAGTCATTTACAATGAAGAAATGTTTCATACATGGTAGATAAAGTACACACCTACAATTTTTGCCAGTATTAATCGACGGACAAATTGCATCTACTGCAATTATCCGTACAAAATAAGAATCTTATGCAAATGCCTCTTTTTTGTGCAGTAAAATGGAAACTAAATATTTGTTCGAAAAGTCGTTAACCAAATTCCTAGTTTTAAAACTAATACTAATATATACATTTCTTACAATCAAATATAATGAACTATATTAAAGTTCTAAAACTTTCAATTAATATATTGGATAAACTAGTAAAATATTTCATTGACAAATTACTAGAATAGTGAACTCAAATTGTTACTGATATGGGCTGCTCCTCCTTGTAAAAGTCTTCAAAACGTAACACTTCAAGTTTACTTTCTCAAATATAGCAATTAAATATAAGATCTTTTGAAATATATTCCTTAGATTGACACCTGCCAACTTACTATGATGATTCATCACTAAATGGCATTGTTTTGTAGGATCTAAACGTACTTTCTTACATTGTTTTATTTTAATAGGATATTATGAATAAACTCCATTCGTTAGCGCCTGTAACTGTCAATTATTATTCTATTCCTTGATATAATTAATCTTCTTCGGATATTTATAAAAGTTAATGTCCTTATCTAACATATCTTGATTGTATGACTCCTTCTTCATGTTCTTTTTGTGTGATACATTTTTAGAAAGTTTTGTGTTCAATCTAAAAATAGATTGTAATATATTTCCTCAATATAGGCTCTAGTCCACGTACTGGCATTGTATTTCAATATGGCGCTAATAATCATGATTCCTTTGACGAGGATCTTGAAGGTATAAAAGTATGGATCATGTTTTTGGTGTGATTCTGTATATTTCTCTGTTTAGATAACTTTTTTGTCGTTTGATATGTTCACTAACATTTCAGATCCCTAGTTTTACCTTGTTTTGTGTGTTCAAGCACATTTGGTAGTGATAGAACGACACGTTTAGTTTCCATAATTAACTTACTACTTTTTGATGAATATAATTATCTAGAATTGTTAATAAAAGTTGCAAAGATCTTTGTAAGTAAGCACAACTCAATCTACAGTTCTATAAATAGAAACATTTATTTCGTACGTTGACACATAACTTATAGGAGCACTCAATCGTGAAAAACAACTGCATGAAATCAGTCTTAAAAATGCAGAAAAATAGGTTTTGAATATAGGTGTAACTTTTACTTATACGGCAAAATTAGCTGAAAATTGCCAAAGGGAAAAACATAACCTCCAAATTTGATTTTCACAGTAGAATGGAATAGCTTTAAATTGGTAACTTATATTGTAATAAAAGCTTATGCTTGTTAAATATGTGGGGAGATAATCTTATATGCTTATACAAAAAGTAATAAAGCTTCAAGCTTTTTGCGCACTGAAAGTTAAACCATTTCATTAAGATAAAACGCCAGAAGAACGTCAGAACAACTGAAACTGTAGCAGGCAAGTTTGGTGTGTCATTAGATGTGTTTACTTTAATGACATTATTTATAGTTTTTTTAATCAATCTAATCGAGGAAGCAGAATTTTACATTCTAAAAAGAGAGGGGAAATTAACTAATGCAAGAATTTCAATTCAATTTCCTTTTAATGACTATCCAAATGACCCCAATCTTCATTCAGATTCAAAATAATTATAGGGTTATTGCAATTAGTCAAAAATATAAGATTAATGTTATAAGTCTACCACGTTTTGTATTTGTATTTTCAAAGTTTCGATATTCAAACAAAGTTGCAATATGACAGTCTTTTACATTGCGTGCACTATTTTGATAGATAATTTCCATTTAATTATTATCAATCACTATGTACGCAATAAGAAAGGTATACACCAAATAACTGTAATAATAAGTAAACAGTGAGTAGTTTCCGTAGTAACACATATTTCCGGCTTAATTTGCTCAGCTGAAACATTAGTAATTGTTGTAAACTGAAATACGTTAATCTGTTAAACAAATTGATTAAAAAAAATTTATTCGATTAATTTAATATGATTCTTAGGTTAACTATAACACTAATCAAAAGAAGTACTGTAAATAAACTATTCTTTCGGAATTTCCGCACTCTCTTCTATTTCAACCAGTGGACATTCCGCACTTCTTTCTTCCAATATACGACGTAATGATTAGTTGACCGTTTACTTAAAAATCAGTTTCAAGCAAAAATTAAGATTTGTGTTAACATTATCGTGTATTATATTAAAGGTGAACCGGAAGTACGTGTTCACAGCATCCGGTCAGAACCGCCTGTACAGATCAAACCAACAGGACCGAAACAGTACCAATGTACATATACACCGAAGTAAGTTGCTTATTTCATTTATTCTATATGATTATAAGATACAATGCTGCAGCGTTCCTTGCTCCGGTGCAAATGATTTGACACATATACCTAAAAGAACACATTTGACATATTTTGCTCATTTGTTCTCAATTTAATTTGAAATGTTGAACAGTATCAAATACTTTGAATCACGCAAATATGTAATCATGTACAAATCTAAACGAAAATGTATTTATGCTGTGTAAAATTTTGTTATGTTTACATATTTAAGAATGTTTTCGGGAGTTTTCATAAAGTCATATAATCAAAATTAAAACTGTTCAATACATTTTCTTTAAACTTGGCATGTTTAGAGAATATAATGATATAAACATATTAAGCGAAACAAATTTGGGGAGCGGGAGGTCACTGTCCTCGTTATTGAGTCTATATGTCTATATGATAACTCCCTTAAAACGTCTTTAATAATAATCATTTTAAGAAGGTATATTGGAAGGAAAAAGACATTCTACATGTAATTGTTGCGCGATGTTCAAATGTAAATGAGTGTTGTTTTGATTTGTCTGGTCTCTTTGGGCTCATTTACTTCATTTTAAGTGTTGACAATTGAATACCGTTTAAGACGGTGCTAAGGGGCGTGTTTTATGTTGCGCTTTCGATTATCTCTCATTTACATAATTTGTTAACCAGTCTGACAATTTCATCTATTTGCTTTTTGTTTGTATTCCTCTCCCCTTTTTATTTTATTAAAAAATATTAAATTATTGACATTTTAATACTTTCCAGAGTACCTGGGGCCTACCTGCTAGATATCAAATGGAATGGAAAACCATTGAAATGTTGTCCTTTTAAAATCGACGTGAAGAACCCCGTTTATCCAGAGAAAGTGGGTGTGACAGGAGACATAAAAACAGGGGTGTTGGGAAAAGATATAGATCTAAAAATAGATCCACGTGAAGCCGGACAGGTAAGTTATCAGAGCAAAACGGATGTGTTGATTTCTTTAAAACGATGCCTTTACCTACAATGTATATATACACTATTCACTCATATCGTTTTGTTTCTTATCATATGTATAAAATACCTTTTATTTCATTGAAATAGCAAATGGTTATTTTGCATTTAAAAGGATTGTAAAACAAGAAATGTCTGGTCATTTACAAGAAAATTATCTCGAGAAATGTTATGAAATAAATAGTCAATAGTTTAGGCAAAATAATATATTTTGTACATTACTGTTAAATTGTTTCACTCTCTTGAAATGAAGACTGCAAGTTATTTGCAAGTAATGTTGTACGGTAGAAAATACTATGACTCAATCACTTTGAATCACACAAATAAGTACGTTTTGTATATTATCTGTTATTATAATCAGAAATTAATTCCGTGTTATTATAATTTATTGTGATATAACATGTAGAATCAGACTACAAAATTGACAACAGTAAGTAGACTCAAATACAGTCTGATGCAAACTTTCAATGTCACAAATTTCTTCCCGCCTTTTGCTGGAATTTATTGTCTGAATGGCTAGGAAGGTCTCAGTGCAAGGTCCGACTTGCAAGCAAATTAATTTCGTTGAATTCAATAGAAGTATATCTTAAAAAAAAAAACATAATGTATGGTCTCTTCTTTTTCCTATACAAACATATATTATAATTAAAGTTTGCATTTGACATAGAGCACGTATTGTTAATGAGATTTCGTGTATTTTACATGTACATGTATATATTTGGGACATAACTTTATATGTCTGTGTGTGTATATATTATCAATATTCGGGTATTAATACGCCAATGTTTATTTTATAAGCATGTGCATATTTAAATAAGCCAAAACGTAGAATATATGACCTTAATTTTATTTTTGTGTTTTGTGTCGAAGTACATATGAATTAAGGAATTAACATTATTTGCTTGTGTAGATATTGTAATGATATAAGGCTGTGATAAAGGATGTGAAGAAATAAGACGACTAACATTGTTTGCTTTATTACAGTGAAAAATTATATTATTTTACTTGTTTTCACAATGGTTTGGGTTATTTTACAATAAGATATTAAGTTACAACGAAGATCTATAGCAGGTTTTTAAACTTTTGAGGAAAATTGGTTATGGATTTATCAATCGTCTTACAAAAGAGATTTCTTTAATTCGTATAGTTCGTGTAAAAAAAAGTTGTATGTTACAGCTACAGTAATGTTCTACAAATAAATGAATTATTATTTCATTCCAACTGCTTGATATTATGACTACTACTGGTAGTTTACATTGATACATTGACTTCACTTTGTACAATTTGAGTGCTGTATAATGTACGGGGAGGAGATAGCGTGGGGCAATATTAATTATGCAGCAAAGTTTATTTAAGATCAATATAGGTCGTATATTGATGTCTTTATTTCACATTTCTAGTAAAACAAATAGGATAAACGGTTACCATTTTGGTATCAGTATTTATAAGGTGTAAATGTACCTGTTTTTTTATTCATAAAATTAAGATAATTTTATTCGTCATAACAATTTTGAACTTGGCATTCATATTTTAAGCTGATAAGATATAAGGATCTAATAATAACATAAATAATTGTTATGATATTGGACAGAACCAGAACGTATAATTGGCGACAGTAAGTAAACTTTTACACGGTCATATGCAAGAGTATTGCCATAGTAACATAAAGAAATTCACTGGTGAAAAACAAAATTGCATCTATAAATATGACATTTACATGGTCAGAGGACGCCGCCCTGTCGTCGGCAATCATATAAGAATTGATTACCTGTGTCATCAGATATGAGTAGTGTTACTTTGCATTTTTTTAAATTTATTATAATTAAACAAAAGTGTTACAAACTTTGCATATGACTGATAAGCACGTCCTTTTTGAAGGTTTATGTTTTATCATTTATAACAGATACTTGTCTCTATAGACAGCATGTGAAAATTTGCTTCATATTAGCATCGATTCAAAACTATTTATTAGATAACTATGTTGTTTCTAACTTTTATAAATGTAGCTTAATTTTTTGTATTGCATCTAGAACTGATATAAGTTTTGTCCAACAGTTTCATAACAAAACAAGATATTATTTTTAAAATGAAATTATTCAGATATTCTATCATTTTATGATAAAATCCAAGACCCTTACAATCATATCATTTTTGTTTAACAAGAAGAACCTTGGTAACTTAGTCATTCCTTTGTATCCGTTTAAACATGTTAAACTAGACGAGTATTTAGGTAATGTATTTGATGTCAATATAAGATGCATGGATTTCACTGTAGAACAAATTATCTTATGTAAATATGCTTGTTCAATAATGGAATGTAAAAGCATTTGTTGCACGTGTTGTACCATTTGCAAGGAATGACTGTCACGTGTTGAGAAAATGTTTTTGATGTTTCTAAAGTTGTAACTTACTTTTGTTTCAGATAACAATGGTAAAATAAATGCATATGTGTACTATTTCATAACATTTTAAAATTACTAAATAAACGTATGAATATAAGGGGTGTTTGAAAAGGACGGCCGTCTTTAACTTTTGTCATAAATATTGATGGGTGCTGTGTGTAGATATGACAAAATATAGTTCCTGAATGTAGCCCTGATTTTTGTCCTTAGATTAATAAGACAATTTCTATTGAAGAACGGACCTTAATTGATCTTGAAGAACCATGTTTACAGATATATAAAACATATGTAATATGGTTGACTAAAATTTGGTTACCTTTGATAACACCCCTGGTATATCTTCTGTTATATTCTTCGGATTTATCAGATATTTCTCAATTATTTAAACAAATTACTGTATCTACTAATTGTACATATATTGGTTATTTCTCTCTTTTTTCTTTGGTTTCTACAACATGATAAGAATCATATATAAAAAGATGTTTTCAAATTATAAAGAACAGATTCAAGTTATTGCATGAATTATGGTTATAAGGTTTCTTATGGGAATATTTCTTGCATTACAAGTAATCTGAATTATACAAAAAGTGCATGCGGTGAACAAAAAGAATGAACAAATAATAAAAATAATTACATATGTATTATATGGGTTACAATCTATTGAGTTAGCAAGCATGACTTGCATATATATGTGACCTGTTCTATTTCGCATAATGTTAAGGTAATAAAATTATATCAATTTAGGGTGCATTGTTGTAGAATACTACACGGTTCAAATAAATCGCGTATGAATATAATCAACGAGTCGCGATTTGGTTTATTGACGTCATATGACGTGTAAGCGTACGTTTGTCTGTGCTTCGCATATATTGTGTAATAATGCACTTGCCCTATATGTTAAATAGGGGAATGGTGTGACGCATGTAAGAGTTGATAATATTGCATTTGATAGAAACGACCCTCATAAAAGTTAATTTCCATGAAGACAAAGTATTTCCTGTACAATATTTTTGTCATGTCTTTGGTTTTTATTTCAAATGCTTGTTGTATATTAATCTACAATACTAGTATACGTTTGATAATTATAACTTATATTTAGGTCATATTATACGCCATTTTAGTCTTAGTATTCAAAGTATTTACACATATGTTTGGTATATATGCATGTTGGGTCTCATATTCGATTGAACATGTAGTATTGTATAGTTATCATTTATAGGGACTCAAAATAAAACATTTATAACCAATAAAAATATTATTTTAATTGTAAATACTTCATAAAAGGCATTTACTCGCATTAATTAGCTTCTTGTTACTGTATACTTTACGAATCACGTCTGAAAACCGGGACACACTAGCTTTTTTAGATATGTGTGGATGCAATAAATTAAAACTGATCGTCAATTGAAGGGATTGTTTTTATTACCTTATTTTTCACCACATAAATCCAAGCCAAGGGATTTTTTCTTCTTACTATACAGAATTTTGTTAAAGTTGGCAATTTCTTTAAGTGGAAATGTAGTTATTTGAAGTTAAATTGTGAAACAATTTTTGTTTTCATACATATTTAACAAGCACTCCCTTGTTTGTAACATTATTTAGACTGTATAAAAATATTGAACCTACTATTTGCAGGTGAATTAACTATTGATTGTAAAGACCCTGACGGTCTAGATGTTCCTGTTCACCTAACAGACAATTTCGACGGCACATACCGGCTAAAAGTAAAACCGGAAAAGCTTGGAAAACATATTCTAAGCATTAGACTAAATAAACATCACGTTTTTGGTATGTTTTTCAACTGTAGTAAATTTTCATTTCAGTGTTATATTGTTACTGGTCCTTCGAGATAATTGTTTCCAATTCTTTTAGTGTCGAAGATTGAATGCCATTTAAGACGGTGCTAGGGGGCTAGATATATGTTGCACTTTTTATTATCTTTCATTAACAGAATAATAAAATCGAGTTTGAGATAATATTTTTGTTTTTTATTTTATTGCTCTCAGGGAATCTACCGATTTCAGCAGTTTAATAATAATGCTATTTATTTTATGCTTTTCAGTGGATTACTGATTTATCCGTGAAAATTATATTTGATAATTTTGCAGACTCGGTTTGATTGAGTCTGTACATGAGGGATAATGAATAAGTGCAACATCCCTCACGCCCCCTAGCAACGGCTTGAGCGGTACTCAATTCTCAACACTTAATAGTGTTGGCATAAATGAGTTTTCTATTTTGCAATCATGCCATTTGCAGCAATATTAAAGCCAATCAACACAACACATTGGAGCTAAATTGAAACAATATAGCAATTTCCTCTGAACTGAAAATTTCTATGGAGAGCAATGCGGAATATATGATTCCGTATACAGAACATACTAAAGTAGAATTCATTATGCTGACAAAGTCAAAAGAAAAGTTTCAATCACAATTTTGTGTTAAGCCGTATCAAATGTGCATTTCACATTTATAAATGATCAATTTCAGTACAAATAAATTTATTTACCAATTTCGACACAATGATTATTTCATTATAATGTCTCACTATCACGGAAATATTAATATTACATATTGTTTTATTTTCCAGGAAGCCCATTTGCAATCGAGATACACCCGACTGCAAAACATGGTAAAGTTAAAGTATGGGGACCAGGTTTGGAAAATGGTGTGTTTCCAGAGTACCAAGGTCATTTTTTCGTAGATGCGACCGGTGCAGGGGGAGGTGAACTTCACGTGAGCGTTATGGGACTTAAAGGTGAGTTGCACGTGAGCGTTATGGGACTTAAAGGTGAGTTGCTCGTGAGCGTTATGGGATTTTAAAGTGAGTTGCACGTGAGCGTTATGGGGCTTAAAGGTGAGTTGCATGTGAGTGTTAGGGGACTTAAAGGTGAGTTAACTATTACAAGCACCTGTTCCATTGCTGTGCCACCCTGCATTCGGGATTTTCTAATGTATTTATTCTTGTTGCCTTTATAGTATAGGTTTTTTTCTTCATCAAAGTATTTAATTCTTTTTGCACCTTGTGATTAAAGTGTTCCCTTTAATGGTTGGGGCAAAGGAATTGATGCCACCGTTTATCCCAGCGTGATCGTAAGAGTGGATTCGAATGACTGGAGTCTATCCATCTCTTAGTTCCAGCAGGTGAGACGGTTTTAACCCATGGTGTTGCTTTTAAGTTTGTAACACCCGAGGGTACCCAAAATAATATTTCCTATTTCGGCGCCATGTGACCTATAGTGCGTTTGTGTTTCGTTAAATCAAACAAACAAACAATATTTATTGTTATTTGACAATGCTCTCCCGTTGTTTAATAAGAATTAGTGTTTGTAATTCTATGGTCTGTCATAATTTATTCACGAAGTTTTAGTTTTGAATATTTTTTATTCCAGGAGCTTTCCATGTTGAAATGAAGAGGGCAAGCCAAAAAGACAAATTGTTTAATTGCTTGTACCACCCAGTCGAACCAGGAATGTACACAATAAACGTGCAATGGTCTGGTGAACATGTTAACGGAAGTCCATTCAAGGTGCTTGTTGCCAATAGTGAGATGGAATTAGTTGACTATGAAAGCAAGATAGAAAGGTATTCTGATTATTCAGTTTAAAGTATTGCTCTGAATAATATGATTTGATTTAGCCTTGACTGTGCAGCAAAGTCTTTCAATTGTCCAAATATACGTCCGGTTGATAACCAAGTTCTGTGAGTACATCAAAATAATAAACTGGTTGCGATCCGAGTAAAGCCTGATCCTTATATAGATCTACTTTTTATTACTGTGCCGCTACCGTTTTCTTTTATATAATTTATTGTAATTAATTGCAATTAGATATATAGTTATATTTTTCTGGAATTTTTTAATATTTAATTTTTACCTCATCGTTGAAAGTTTAATTTTTGTAATCAACATTTTTTTCTTTATCCTTTTCCTTAATATTTAAGAAATCAAAGAAATTGTATCTTGCTTATCTGCTTATAACAAACATTAAAACATAAAATAATTTATTCTTTATTGCATGGTTTTACATGTATATCTTTTGCTCTTTAGGTCGAGGGACTCGTCATCAAGAAGCTCTGGAAAGCTCTCCCCATTAAATACTACTCATAACAGCATTATGTACTGACGTCATAGCACGTAATAGCACACGTCATAACACACGTCATCCTGCTGCATCTAATTTCGATAAAGGCAACGTAGAATCGTGTTCAAATACAACCGCCAAAATTTCATAAATATGGCGATGCAACTGGCAATACTCAACATGGGTTAAAATGTGTATAACCAGTCATATAAAGTATACAACACTATTCAAGTAGATTAGAAATATGATAGAAATAACATACACGCATCTCGTGTGAACAAGGGGTAATTCATAGTTTACTTAAGTTCATTTATCGCTTCAGTATATGCTTAACATATGATATTAAATATAAGAGGTACATGTGGAATTAAGTGAATGGTCAAGGAGCACAGTCAATTACAAATGAAGAGAAGATTATCTACAAACAGCAAGATAAATTAACAACAGCGCTCTAAATTTAAAGGATGTCATAGCAACATTTTTTAATCGTATAAATAATAAGATTTCTTAAAAGCAGCCAAGCACGGCAAATAGAATATTGAAGACTAGAATTCAACCTGAAAACGTGTAAATGGAAGTCGCTCAATGTTACCATTTGATATTGTGGTTTATGAATGCAACGAAAAACATTATTTCTACATCTTTTTTTCAAATATTTATTACAAGTCTTGAAAAAGACACCATATGCTACCTCATGACTTGATTGTTTCCATGAAATCAACCGGATGTGCATGTATATTTGTTGCTTTGTTGTTGTTTGTTTTTTTTTTGAACGCTTTGCAAGCTTCACATTAGTATTTGCACTTAACTATCGGCCCATTTTCCTCGTTGGTATTCACCTATTTTGTGTCATAATATTCATTAAACTGTAATATATGTATTTGGTCGTTAAGTTCTAACATTGATACTGTGACCCCCGATAAAGTTTGATATATTGTTAGATACGTGTATTTTTTATCGTTTTTGCCATTTTCTTATTTCATATTTACCAGCAATGTATATCGATTTGGTTTCCAACATGTTCATGCCTTTAGAATTCTTGCAACTATTACAAATGTAGTTTTGAACGATATGTAGTATTCAAGCTATAATGCCATTTTCAATGATTTAGGTAGTTTCTTTGTTCATTTTAAATTTGCAACAATTTCTTTTGACACTTGTCATTTTCCTTTGAAACAAATGGGAATACAATTTTTTGAAACCAGTTGCTGAGTGAATTAGAAAACTTGCGCAATTCGTTCTCCTTTTTAGTATGTTCTTGGTTGGGTAATCGTTTTTGGAGAATGGTAGCTGTGTAATTATAAATGAGGTGGTTTTGTCATTAATTATTATATACATGTATCCTTTTGTTCGTGTATTTTTATGCTTCTTTGATATAAGACTGATTAATTATGTGTTTTTGTATGTATGTATGTTTATGTATTTTAATGTTAAACTCTTAGCCTACTGACAGCGACCACAACAACCTTTGCAAACAGCATCGTACCTCAGCGTCTTGTCAGGAACCAAGCTGTCCTAAACTTCAAAATGATGCAGACGACATTTAAGCAGACGACATTGCCCTCTAGGTAGCAGCGGGCTTAGAATTATTACTCTACAAGATGGTGCTGATAATAGTGTGTGTTATTATGATTTGCTGAATTTATGTTATGGTTTAGCCAAGTTTTGAATTTAGAACAGTCCACTTAAAGTGTAAGGGATTTCAATATCAAAATACAAAAACTGAGTTACTAATAGTATAGAACCTGGTCTGATTGCTCGGACGTGATAGTTGGCCTTGCTCTATACTGGTGGTTAATGCTGATCACTTAAAATAGATTCAGGCAAGTTAATAGTTAATTATAGTTATAAATATATAAAGTAATTGGGTAGTTATAATGTTTATTTATTTAGTATTGTACATCAAAGATCTGAGAAGCAAAATTATTACAATAAGACAAGCTCTTCTTTAGAAACATTTATTAAATTGTGTTTACAGTCATAAAGGAAAACATTTATTTTCTCCTAATGTTTACTTTAAAGCAATGAATTCATGTATCATAAAAAATAAAGTCCTCTTTTTTTTATCGTTTCATTTTACAATTGGCTTACATGTGGGTAGAGCAATGATTTACATTATCTTCGTTGTTGTACGTTGACAAATATTTAACAGTTATTCATGTATATATATATATTATTTATATAGACCAATGTATGAAAATTATAAATACATGTATAGATATGGTTTATAATAATTTGTATAGGAATAAAATGTATGCTATTTTATTATCAAAATGCTGAATTTAATAAAAGTTATGAAAAAATATAGTGATTAGTTCAGTTTAACTACCAATGAATGTTGAATAAATGCGTCTTTATGTTTAAGTCGATTCCATGAGACCCATTTATGACATTTTATGATGTTACTAAAAAGCTTCCTGTCATGCAAATAATTCGGCAAATTTGAAACTCATCTAATGAAGTATCATATAATTAGTCCAATGTTTTCGCAATGACGTTTTGCCACATACTGGGGCAATGATTTGACTTAGGATACAACGGGTAATAACAAAGGCACTGCTCTAGGTACGAGGGTACGAACTCCGGCATTGTCACGTATTAAAATGTTCATAACATTTGCTGTTCTAAAAGAAGCACTACACAAGATACACAGAGCCATTATTCAAGGGGTACATCCGATTCACAAGACATCATAATTGAGGCATGGCTTGTACGTTCGAATACTCACTGCAAAAGCTCTTACATTTTATACAAACGAGATTTTCATAAAATGATACCCATTATTCCTGAAACTTAAGACTTCTTAAATGGTCACCTTGGCGATATCTACATGTCGAGTCCAAGATTCCAAACCAAAACTTTCAACTTAGGAGACGAATTATTGAATTATTGATCATACTAAGAATTTAGTGGTTGGCAATAATGTTGAAATTTCAACTATTGACAAATACTAGTCATCTAATAGTCAAGAATTACGTCCAAACCATGTATTAAGACTGTACATCTGACAATATCTTTTCAACAGACATATTGTGGAACCTAACGGACGGACATCTTGTTGTTTTCCATTTAAATGCAAACTTTATTTAGGGTAAATAGACATGCCTTTAAAAATCCGGATAAAGTGTGATCTCTCGGTATCATTGATTACAACAGAATTACATGAAAATTGCAAACTCGCCATGCCACGCCAGTTCACTGATTTGTATGTGTCACAAACAGTTATCGTACCAGTGTGAATTTTAATAGTCGAAAGAGAATTTCACTGCCAGTGACATTCGATCCCTCGACGTTCAGGTAATGCATTTGATTGCTTTACCGCTAAGCCTCGTTTCCTTCTTGCGTGCAAAGCAATACAACACTTCTTTTTCTTTGGAGGGTATGATGAAATGTATTCAATTGTAGAAATAAAAAAAGTATTGCACAAAATAAACTTTATTGAAAAGAAACATAATGCATAAGCACTGTTTGTATAGTTCAAATTTATTTGCACACTCACTCTTGAAAAACGCAGCACATCACATTTTTATACAAAACAGCATAATTAAATTGTCATATTGTAAGTACAAACAACTTTGCTTTTTTCCACTGAAACATTGAAATAATCTGAAGGTAAATATGTTCGGCATGTTTAACAAAAAATAATTATCATATGTATCTTATTTCAAAATATACAAGGTCATAGCATAAACACATATTACAAAAACTTTAAAAATTCAATATGTGGACCAATGTCACTTTAACAATGGCAAATGAAGTACCAATGTTCATAAATGTTCATAAGTGCCAAATATGATGACCATGGCTTGATGAAACAATGATAAAATACAATTATTCAAAAGTGTACTAACCTTTGTATGTTTAATGTAAGATGATGGAGATGAATGGCAATTTTACTCTTGGGGTCGTAATTTAAAGAAGTCGAGGTCCACTAGATAATGGTTCAAGCGAATAAGGCTAAGCATTGCTGTTCGGAAGAGTTAAATTGAACGATTTCCCCATATATCTCAATATAAAACTATGGATCCATGGGACGAAAGCATTTGGACCCACGGAATAAATTTGTGAAAGATCAGTTACGCAATGTTTCACATAATACCCAAGCTCTAAGCTTTGTAGTTTTGGAGAGGATTTCATTATAATTCATTGTTAATATGTTGTTTCAATTGGTTGCCATGGAAACCAGATTATTTCTTTACGAAACCAAATTCTTTTAGCAACTCTGCCCGTCACTTAATGTACAATTATGCAAAGTTTGGTTTGAGTCGGACAATTTTGCAAAAGCTTTTTTATGTTTTTTCACCATATAATCTGTATAATTAAGGTAGTACACCCCTAATGGGCACTATAAGGAACTGTAAAATTGACAACATAGGACAGTTATATGCCTTAAATGTCACCTGTATGCAAAATTTAAACAAAATTTACCGTGTGGTTTATGAGTTATGGACATTTTTCTAAACTAAAACTTTGCCATTGGAAGGGCTTTTTTCAGATATGAGGAAACTCTAAATAATCTATAATATCATCGTTATGAGAAATGTTTTCCTATTGATCATTGTAAGGAAACAAGTAATGACATTAAGGTTACAAATTAAACAAGCAAAATGATTGTTTTTAAACGAAATGTTTTTAATGTGTATAAAAATGTAACCCTACCCCACCCACTTTTAACACTTATTTGACCATTTCCATGTGTAAAAAGCCTTTTTTAAAATATCCCTAAAATTTTCCACAACGAGGGGCTGTTTTCAAAGTTTGCCTAAATTTTCTTAAATGTATATTGGTTGGTCTTGCAAAATATAAAATACTTTTACCGTGTAGTTTTTATTTTATTAAACTTTGAAAATATCTGGTATCATATTTGCTATAAAATTTGGCATTATTTAGTAAATAAATACCTACAAAAATTATAGAATTAAAATGAAACACTTTTTTCTTCCATTAGGGATCTTAGAGATTAATAAAAAAAATGTTAAAAAGAAAAAAAAAGAAAGAAAAAAAAGTTGCCCCTTCTGGGGTTTGAACCCACGCCCCTCAGTTTCAATACACTTTACAGTGATTCTAGCCTATTTGAATACTCTTCAACGTGGAGATACTGCATTAGGGGTGTACTACCTTAATACACAAACAAACACCCACAAGTCATCTCAGATGCTGCTCTGGTGTAACATAATATGCAGTTTCTAGCGCTCACGCACGGACACTCACACACGTACATTCGAATGGCAAACCTTTTCTACAGTAACATCAGTTTCAACGCAAACTGATATAATTTTACACTTTCAGCGTTTTAGCAACAACATTCTCCTTAAATCATTAGCATAAACATAAGTAACGCAATAGACTAAGCTCACTTGTGACGGAACATTTTTGAATAGACTTTGGACAGTGTTTCTTTTTTATCATCAGTCCATTGCTGTACGGTGAAGGCTTCCACTAGCAGTCCTGTCTCTCTAAACATCATCCGGACTTCTATTTCACCATACCTTACGTCAGAATCCAAGTTTACTGAAATCACATCTAGCTCCTTTATTCCACTTTCATCTGCATATTTCGGCTCTTTACTGTCTGATTGTAGAATGTTCACACGTATTCTCCCTTGATATGGGAAAACAGACTTAAACCTCCAAAATCGTAGCTGACCGACGTTGACATTCTCTCCTTTCATCCTGAGTTGATGGTCTCGTGCATGTACCTCTTCATGAAAATCACCGCAAATACCTATGCCGTATGTGAACGGACAATTATGCATATTTTTTGTGAAATCATAACTTGTTGCAGCTTGTAAGTGGGCATACATATTTTGAACAAAAACGGCTCCATCAAAGTTTCCAACCATTGCATCTTTAATTTCTTTATTTTCTAAAAGTGTTCCGAAAAAAATAATTGAATTGACCGAAATTCTATGTTTATTTAAAATTGTTTTGATAAGGGAAATATTCTTTGAGATACAATTTTCGACCACTGTTTTCAGAATGCTACTTTCAAAGCGTAGCTTGTTACCTATCATTTTTACTTTTAAAATTTTAGAAAGTTTGTTTATTTCTTCTTTGATATTTTTACTAGTTCTTTCTTCATATAGCTCCGTCAGCAGTATAGGTATCTGTAAAGTAATGTTGTTGTCTGATTTGTAATCAACAATAATTTTGTTTGACATTTTTCGTGTCACTTCGTCCAGCCACATTGGCTCTTGATTGCAAACTTCCTTATAAACGTCATTTCCAAATAATAGAGAGACTACTTCAAAGCATTCTGAGACACACTTTTGTAATCCCCATTCTCCAAAATTTTCATCAATTTTCCTGCACGTGCCATCCTCTAAACGCTCATGAACGCTAATTTCAGCCCGGTCATCTGAAAATAGAACATATGCACAAAATAACAAATAAATATAATATATTCGATACTTTTATTATTAAAAGTGCATTTATCAAACCAGTGAAAAATATAATAGTAAAAATTTAATATACTTTTTACTTACATCCTAAATCAGCAACAAGAAACCTATATCCTGGTTTCCAAAAATCATCTAGTAAATGGCCAACCATTTCCTCTTGTGGATAACTATGCATCTCGTTGTACTTAATGATACTGGTTGCCTTAGATACAAAAGATACCTCATCCTTTTTTATACCAGCCTGAAATAATTAGTTTTATAAAAATCACTTAAAATTCTAATCAAAACGTTATTTTTATTCTAAATCTAAATTTATGAAAAATATTTGATGATATTAACCAACCAATCTGTAACATATTTTGATGTGCATGGCGACTTTTTTTCATCTAAATATGGTCCAATTGCACAATGGTCATAGCTTTCACAGAAGCGGTGGGTCCATCGCAGAAGCAGTCGATAAAAAAATGGCCGTTTACTGTTGCCAGTAAGGTAAGTTATTGAGTGAAGTTTACTTTATGTATTATTGTTTTACGGGAAACATATTGTTAGAGTGTAGCCCACATGTGTACTCTTCTAACCTGTTACACGCACACGATGTAATATTTTGCCATTTTTGCAAACGCATCTGTACAGTTTGACAAGAGGACGCCACTTTTGCCTTATTTGTACAATGTGTACAAAACGACCCTTTAATGCGCCTGCATAACATATTATAAATAGTACTTACACAAAACAAAAATAGTTTGGAATTTATATTTGGAAACTGTTATTGACTGTTTATGAAATTAATAAACAAAAAAAAAAACAACGCAGACGGCGGCGGATTTGATTGCAACACAGTGAGGTGGGCAGGATACCATTATTTCAAGTGTTTAACTTGACCTATAACGTACCTTTCAATAGAGTAAAACCTTTTCTTTGCTGACAAACGTGGTTATTTGGAGTTTAAAACAATATAAGTATGTATACAAATAGATGTATGAGTTCCGCTGCCATTTTCCTTCAATTGAAAACTCATTTTTGAAAACTCGTTTGGCAGGTTTTATCATAAAACAGTCCACGTTCAACAAACTATTTTGTTTTATTACCGAGGTATTTTGTATGTAAACCAATAACGATTTCGAGTTCGTTCTTGTGGAATAATACACTATTCGAGTTAAAATGCGCTGTACATTTTAAAACATATATAGTGCCCTATATCTTTTTTATTAATACATTATTTCCTTTGGAGATCATGCATTTAACAACCCGGACCGAAGAATAACCAATGCCCGGCGGAAACTAGAGTCAAGACATCTGACCTTGATGCACCACAGAAAGAAAAGTTACCGATACGCAGGGAATTTCATAGACCAATTTATATATAAGTGATTTATTGATAAGCATGTTTCTGGTCGTTTCCTGTCTACATGTGCCTGAGTGTCGAGCATAATTTAATGGAAACAGTTATAAACTTTGCCTATGATACAGCACATATGTGAGCCTGTGGTGTACATTCTTATACTAATTGCAAATGCGAAATAACAAGGTTTCGAGCCTAGGTCTTTAATTAATCCAAAGTACCTAGACAGATTACATAGCAAGTCGGCCTTCTGTGGTACATCAAGGTCAGATGTCTTAGACTCCAGTCTCACAAGGTGTTTCCGTAAAACATGAAAATATAAAGTTAATTCATTCATAAACTTACCAACAACAGCAAATGGCCATTTTATCCACCGCCTCTGCGACAAATACTCCACCGCTGCTGCGATTGGCGAAAGCTATTGCCAGTGTGATTTGTAATGCAGTGAATATTTTAAATTAGATGAATTTAAATTTTACATAATGTCTGAAACTTTGAGGTTTATAAAGCATGTTCCTGAAGCATAAATGATAAATAAATATAAATAATAAAATGAATAATAAAACCATGCTTAACCTTTGCTGCAGCATTTTTCAACATAGATTGACACGTTGTGGATATTGTATCTGCTGTAACATATACTAGTTGAATATCGTCTGCTGTAAACAAGCCAGCCACACGACCAAGTAGATAATTGGTAAGATAGACTGTCAACGCCTCAAAGACTTTGCCAGCGTTCATTGCGTTGTCGTTTGTGGAAAAAAGCTTTGTTTCATCTGTAAGCTAGAAAATATTACAAAGTAGTGGGGGATTAAAAATATCTTTCCAACAACAATAGTCTGAAGAAATTTATATATAATATATGTATTTCCTCCGAAAAATAAGATAAACAGCAGCAACAATTTATCAAGCGTTATATTGATATTTTCCGTATTATTATGTTTTCTATATTGAATCTTTATGATGCTAGTGTTTACGTTCATTCGGAGCGTTTAATGTTTTATCTACATCTTTTTAAATCGATATTAAATATATTGTAAGACTTTTACACTTTTCCTAACCTGCTGAATAAGGTAAATCATCCATCAAATGAGCTAAAAATATGTCATTTTAAAGCATTAGTGCCATCTAAAACGACTGTCAAAAGTTAGCATTGTTGATTATTTAATGTAAAAATACTCGAAGAATAAGGAAATTTTCTAAGTGTTTCTATATACCCGTACAATTAGATAAGCAGTTACATAATCCCACTACGTAAGGCCCTTGGTGCCTTTTACTTCACGTCACGCGTGGTAGTACGTTAACTACCAGTCATTTCAATATATAGAGGATATTGAATGAGTGTAAGTTCAATACTGAATTTACTGCACCAGTTGAATAAAATTATATTATGCGAGCCTCTGGCGAGCATAATATTATTTTATTCATCGAGTGCAATAAATTCAGTAATGAACTTACACGAATTTAATATTCTATTTATCACATACCCAAAATAAAAACCGTTTATAGTGAAATAGGAGTCATTTTTCATTGACGCGCCTATAGTTTAACGCTTATTTACATTATATTTGTATAACGCTTATAACGTCACGTCAAAATATATGCACGGCCGTGCAATACCATATTTACGGAGTCGCAAAATCGGCACGGGTGTGTGATAAAAAGATTTCTCATGTACGAAAAAACAATCCAACCGTGTAATAGTCTTGTTTATTGAACAAATAGAAATTAAACAATATTGGTGGTAGATTTACCACGGGTCATTATTATTTAAAGCTATATTACACTCTGACAAAGACGATTTTCATTGACTTTTTATCTTAGAGGTAAATAACCACGCTCTATAACTTCCATGTTTGTTAGATAATGGAAATGTTTAAAAACAAATAATATACCGTCACCTAAAGATCATTTCTAGCCCCAAGGAACTTTCCTGTTAAGTTTAAATGATATTGGTTCTGTAGTTTAGGAGCTGTTTGCTAACCGATAAAGGACCATCAACTTGATAAAGTTGGCCAAAACGTCAAACGGACAGGCGGCAGACGGAGAGTGATCATAATTGCTAACCTTACGCACCTTTGTACTCTGTTGAGCTGAAAGGAGAATCTACTCACTGTTTTACTTCGTAAACATTTGTCATACTCGTCAAAGTAGAACCAATTGTTCGCTTCCCCATAAGTTTGGACCTCCTTGTACTCTGTCATAGCTTCTTCGCCAAAAAAACGAAAGTCTTCAGTCGCATCAAAAAGGAGACATGATTTCGACGATTTTCTTAAGCCGTCGAGTGAACAGATACGAATGTCGTTCACATTTCCACTTCCCCATTCTTCACGGAAACAAAACAAAATGCTTGTGTAACCGCTCCTCAATGATCCTAAGTCGACCGTTACCCGAAGTGTTTTTGTGTACGATCTACCAGGCAAACTTTCTTGATCATAATCCTCTGTCTGCATGAATAATAATTGTTGTGTAAGTTTAATTGTTTAAAGGTATATTAAGCATTATTCATATGAACAAAATTTCTTTCTTCTAAAAGACAAGGAAAATACGTTGTTAACGTTTTAATAATGAATTCAGAGCATGATAAGTTATCATGTACTGGAAGCAGCGTTGAACTCGAATGTAAAATGATTTGTCATAAATGTAGCAAAATGTTAACAAAGTGTAAATCACTATAATTTACTAATGGCAAAAATCAAGATCAGTAAAACAACATCAATACAACATCATGGTTACAAAATTCGCCCGTCACATTTACATGTACTTAGTATTTTGCATTTAAATAGCCCTATTCATGATGACTATATCGTTTACATAAATCTTTTCAATTCTTTATCTGAAATTAGACCATTGTCTGTAAAATGGACCTAACTACTGAACAACACTAATTTATATAACAATTCTTTAATGAATTCAAAAGTTTTTATCTGGTACAGTATAAAATTTCCTGTGGCCTCTTTTTGACCCAAAAGTGCGATGTTACAGGCCCCCATGTCAAAGCTTGATCTTTGACCTTTAGATCTGGATATAATGTATGCTACCTGAGGTCTCATGATGTGTGTTGTGTCTATTAGAACTAAGATCCTCCCATACATATATATATAGAACAAAAGTTTTACATTTAAACAAAGACTACTATTTTTACCATTTACCTTTTTGTAAAGACCTGAATTTGTACATATACCAAAATAGAGAAAAACGGAATCCATAAAGAACGTCCAAAACGACAAAATTTAAAGATGTTACAGACTCAGTTTGATTGAGCCTGTTCATGGACAGTACTGGAAATGGCAAGTTACCGTCCATCGGCTTTTAAAAGCAGAATTCCACATTTAATCATGGTAAGGATGAAATTTTGCATTTGGAAACATCCGCAGATGTGTTCATACGGCGGTTATCATGGCACTTTTAATGTGTAAACACCATTTCTTGAAATGCAGTGTATGATCCCAAATTTAAACAATGCGAGTACCTAAACGACAAAACAATATCCGGAACTAAATAAAATGTAATTTTGAAAGGGGATCTGAAGTTATGAATCCTGCATATCACATATAAGACGAAATTTAAAAAGCAAGCAACATATTCTTAGAGTGCTTACAGTACTCAAGTAGAAATATTGGAACCACTAAACTCGAAAAAGCTCAAATAGATGGATTTTAAAATACAACATAACATGTTTACACAACAATAATCTATTAGAAGTCCTCACTGAATGAAGAAGTTTGGCAAAGGACGATCATTTCTTGACCTATAAATATGATCTTGACCTTTGACCTAGAGACCTGCTTAATACGCTTGACGCTACGTCTCGTGGCGGTAAAATAATAATCGCTGACAACAAAAACATATACATACTTTAACTTTATTATTCCAATGTGTATTATAGTCCCAAAACGTTGTTTTAGCAATCCTTGACATACACACAAAATAAGACAGTTAAGCATGGAAATCATGCTTTTTTACTTTATGTACTTCTTTGTCGCCTCTTTCAAAAGCAAGTTATATCAAGTAGCCAAAAAGTTAACAATGGAAGCAAGTCATTTCTTCTCCTTAACATAGCTAAGCAATTTCTTAATTACTTACCAGACTGCACATCTACAAAAGACAGAAATAACGAAAATAAAAGAGGAAAACAAGTAACACATACTAATTTAAAATAAAAAGAAATATACCGGTTACTTTATTTAATTTAAAAAAAAAATAAAATAAATTTGGTGTGTATAGAAGCCAGTTGGATTTAAATACTTAAACTTAAATTTAACTCACTGTAATTTACCTTTCTTATTGGAGACTGTAGATCCCTGAAAAGAATTCATATGATAGAAGTAAATAATTGTGGTTTTTAGAACATGGAAGTATGATGTGTTTCTACTACTGTTCAACCAGTCTGTCTTAGACATAATTATTCTATTTATTTGCCAATAAATGTATATTTCTGTTTTGTCATATATGAAATGCAGAAAATCAAAACAACTCCTCATCTTCTGTCGAAATTTTTCATTGACTTTTGAAACATAACATTCATGGGATTAATTTTGTATTCTAACATTTAATCAATGCGCAAATAACGTTTGTAGCAAATATCGTTGTCATATACAGTAAACTTCACTTATAGCGAACACGGTGACAGCGAACTTCCGGTTATAGGGAACAATTTATTTTGACCCGAATTTTGCCCTTCTTTATTTAATATAAATATATATGGTTATAGCGAACACGGTTATAAGGAATTATCGCTTATAAGGAACTCATTTCTAAGTCCCAATTTAGTTAATACAACAGAAAATTACACTTTTATAACGAACTCCAAAATATTGGCTATTCGTATATAGATCCCGCATTTTCAACTTTCGTTTTCATTCGCACGGATGAAAACTCGGGCGAATGTTCCGTTTATCGTTGTATGTACTTCAATACATCTATTCAAATGAATTTGTATAGTTTTCTATTTAGGATATTTGTAGCATGATCTCTTTTCACCAAGATTAAACGGTTATTTATTTATTTTCTTCAATAGTTTTGCTCGAGTAAAATAATTAAAATAATTTATAATCGGTTTTCAACATAATCATACATGCTTGCAGGCATGATCCATTGCAAACTGCAAAGTACGCTTGATTTAACTGAAAAGAAATCTATATCTTACATTAAAAAGTCACCCTTATAATTATTATAATAGATGATATTCAATATTAAAGGAAGGAAAAATCGAAAATCTTGTTTATTCTCAATCATGGAAAGAAAACGAAAAGAGTTTAGAAACAAAATATTATATTTTGTGAAATTGAGATAGGGAGTAAAACTAAAACTGAAATAGCAATGTTTTTCAAATTCCAAAAAGTACGCTCTCGGGTATTGTTTGTAAACTATAAATTATTGACTAATATTTCTATTTCTTAATCAAATGCTCTTCAAAAATGGCGGACAATGGTAAACAATCAGTTCGTTATATGTAAATCTGTTCGCTATAAAAACTCCTGATACAAGAAACTAATTCGCTATATGCTTACAAGGAACTCCGGATATAAGGAACAGGTTTTGAATGTCCCAGTGAGTTCGTTATAAGCGGAGTTTACTGTATATTTAAATATGTTTACATATGTCACAATAATACCTATCTAATTACCAACGTTAGGCAGAATGAACACTGTATAATATAAATGATTCAAACATTGCATGATCGAGAAATATATTAAACCAACCACTCTTACATGTTGCCTGCACTTGAATTTGAAAATCTTGTTCACTTTAGGACATTTTTTAAATTTTTATTTGATTCTGATCAAGAAACTGACATAATTATAAAAATACATACTTTTGAGTTTCTTCGCTATCACCCTTTCCATTATTTTCCTCTTCTGTCCTTACAATCCTCAAGCTATGCCCAACATTTGTTATTTCGTGGAAATCTAAACATGGGATGCAAAGACTTTTCCGACAGTCCAGACATTTCCAAGCAGCTGCTGTAGTTTTCTTTTTCCTGATGCAGTAATCACATCGGTCTATAATGACCTCCTTTGCGCTATACAACGATTTTTGGAAGAAAGCCTCTTTCCGCAAATTGATTTCTCTCAATCCTCGAATATGATGGGACATTTGTCCGATATAAATAGTATGCATTATGAAACAACCAAGGCAGATAAAAACATCACATTTCAAGCAATACCCATCTGCTGACGATCGCAGATCCCTATCTAAGCAAATAGTACAGTCGTGATTAACGTTTTCCATTTGTCCTATTTCATCAGCTATTGCTTTTCCTAATTCATCGTCTGACTTAGTTCTGTGAGAAGAGTGATTTTCTTTACAAGATATGCAAACAAATATGTTACATTCTGTACAAAACATATGCGGGTAGTTTGCCAAACTTTTCTCGCAGCATTTCGAACAAACTGGTCCTATAAATTCTTCTGAGCCTGACATAATGTATTTACCATATTGCTGATATATGACTTTAAACTCCTTGAATGGAATTAGCCGGTGACCCTTATTTGAACTTTGATGCAGGCCACTGCACTTCTGACATGTGTTCCTAAAACCGCAGTTAATACATTTCCACAGCTGTTGGATGTCTTCTATTTCACGTCTACAGGAAGCACATGACAATTTTGCTTGGTATAATGGTTCTTCTGCAATGACCACATACTGTCTATCTTCAGATTGACTTTTGTTGACTCTCTTTCGTATTTGGTCGACTGCTTTTAGTTTATGATCATGTAATAGCCCGAATAGATTGTGATTATTTTCACACAGAGAACATAAATATTTACAACAATGCATACAGTATACTCGTGCAGCTGTATACTGACCATAAATTCTACACACAGTGCATTCAAAACCGGATTCTTCGGATCCAATAAGAACTGATAAAGACAAGTTGGGGACTTGGTCCTTTAGCACAACTTTATGCTTCTGAAGGGATTCAAACCGTCCATGTTGTACGGAACAAGAACGACACAAAAACTGTTCACAGTCCATGCAAAATTCAACAGCTTTCACATCCTTACCTTCTTTAGAACAGAGTGAACAAACACGCTCATGCACATCATCTGAACCACTTATTGATGGCAATGAAAACATTACTGATGTCGTCATTTAAATAAATAAGCAAAAACAGCATATACAGTAAGAAGAAGAGTTTTGAAAACAACCACAACGATCACTTTCCAATATCTATATAGACTTACATTTTAAATATAGAGGGAGCTATCCCGTTGCTTACGGAACATACGCCTATCATTCATTCTTGTTCCTTCCTTTTACGTCTTTTCCAAAACATCACTTCTTGCGTCGGTTATTCCATAGTAAGGTTTTTTTAAACAGCTTAATTAAATATTTTAATATCACAGTTTAAATTTGAATTACGTATAAAACGAAAGTTGTATCAGTTTATATCTGTCGTGTTTACATTGAGTCTAGGCAACGAGTATCGGGTTTAACATTCATTACGTGATTAGCCAAGCTTGCAGAGTTTAATCAATATCTGTTTTGGGCATGCCCTATATTTTTGTATGAAAAAATATGTCGCGTCAACAGGACGACAAAATCGTTGTATATGCATAAAGTATTTAAATAATTAAAAACAAATGAAATCGTTAAAATATCAAAGTTAACAAGTTTGGATGTTCGTGATTATTCTCAGTAGCCAGTTTAATCGCAGTAAAGTTAAGTTAGGAGCAAAAATAATTCATCTGGTAAGTAAGTACGTAGCGTTATTAGCCAAGCTTGCACAGTTTAAAATATAGTTCTATTATATCGACGAGCCTGTTATGCGGAAATATTATGACCTGAGGCGGCATTGAGGGTATTTCCCTACAGAAAATGATCCTTACTCATATAGTGTCTTATATGTAAAGAAGATAAATATAACATTCATTTGCTTTTAAAGCATTTTGTTCAATGTTGTGATGTTGTGCAAACGAAATCATCCTTCACGCATTGCTTTTTTTGTCCATATCTATGAGGTCAATTTAACCCAAAAGTTGGTATCACTTAGGACAATATATAATTAAAACATGAGTTAAACCAATCAAAATGCAAGTTAACATCAAAATACTTTGCAAACTACATCCGCTAAGTCCAAACCTCCGGCAACTTATTTCAATAAATATCCAAGGGATTTTTAGGGATTTTTTTCAATCTTTATAATAACAAAATGCGACAATTTCATCTTTATCTTTATGAACTGGCTTGTAAAAAATCTTTTTAAGTCTCACTTTCAAGTGTAAGTAAAAATAAACTACGGAGAACCAATTTTGGATACATATATTGCTTTTGATGTGATTGTGAATCATTCCTTTTTCCGGATGATTATGCATTTATATTTTTATCTGTTTGATAACAATTTACGTAAGATAATTAATAAGGTATTGTTTAATAATTATAAGTCCTCAAAGTTAAATGTGTATAATTTCAACCACTAACTTGGCTACGCTGAACATTTAAAATAAATCAATAAATACTGACAAGAGAAAATCTTACCCATTATATATGTATATCGGAAATTGGATGTGACTATATCATTGGGGACATTTGCACTAACACCCGCTAAGTCACGCTCTTTATGAAATATTTCAAATTTAGCATGGTATTATGTTATTTTATTGTCTTCACAGATATAATTGCACAAAACAATAACAACAACAACAACAACAAAAATGATTATAAACATAATAAGGTCGTTTGAGATTAAAATCTGATAACACTATATATGGCCACAACTGTACAAACAACATCCCAATGACATCATAATGGTTTCTTGTTGTTGTTGTTCTATAAATAGAAACGATTATCTCGTACGTTAAGACATAACACATAGTAGCACTTCAGTAAAGTAATTTGTCATGAAATATTAAAGCAACTGCATGTAATCAGTCTATTAATGCAGAACAAATATGTTTTAAAGTATATATTTTACATATATGACAACATAAGCTGAAAACTGCAAAATAGGGAAACATAGGCTTCAAATTTAACTTTCACAGTAGATTGAAGTAGCTTTAAAGCAGCGGACCTCCAGAAGATAGCAGAAAAACTGCCGTTTTGCTAATATTTCAAAATCCCCCCTCAAAAACATTATTTTGTTGAAAAAAAAGGAAATGACACTTTAAAATGTTGATATTTTAACATTTTTGTTCTGAAAACAAACGTTTCGCTTTTCCACCAACGGGAGATACCTTCTTTTATTATACCACGGAATTCTTTTATCCGGGTTTTTATCTAGTATCACGTGATCGTACAGGACAATATCGCGACATGTGCTCCGGAACGCACGGAATCCGGAATTTTATCATACATATAGGGATACCAATAATTGCTTTTGTTTTTATATTTGTAGTAATTCATGGTCCTAAAAATTATAATTGATTAATTATTTCATATATATGATGACCAATTTATCGATTTACCCTTTAGCTTGAAATGTGATAGGGGCTTACTCAATGACGAAAATTGATAAACGATCCCGGGCATACCGGATACCGGGATTTTTCCCGGACCACTGTTGTGAAACGTGACCGCGTTAAATGAACTATTTTCTCCTACTTATATTGGTTACTACGTTAGTAACGTAGTAGATTATGGAAAAGAAAACCCCGGTATATTTACGTTTTGTCAACATTCTTCCTTGAATCAAGGTGTCAGTGATGATAGATTTATACAATAAACCTAACTAGATCAGTATTTACTGTTTACTTGAAATTTTATTTCATTTTTGTGTCGCCTCTATGGAGTAGTGGCGACATATAGGGATCACTTCTCCGTCGTCTGTCTGTCCGTCTGTCTGTCTGTCCGTCTGTCCGTCCGTCCGTCACAAAACTTGCCCGGACTACTCCTCATAAACTACTGGTGCAAGTTTATCCAAACTTTACAGGAATGATCAGTACCAAGTCTTGTTGAGCATATTGTCAGCATTTTTTGGTTCAATGATTTTTGTCAGAGTTATGGCCCTTTAACAATTTTTATTTTTAAAATTTGTCCGGACTACTTTTCTTATACCACTAATGCAATTTCAATGAAACTTTACAGGATTGATTTGTAGTTTAAGTCCTTGCGCATATTGCACAGGTTTTCCGGTTGAATGATTTTTGGCTGAGTTATGGCCCTTTGATAAAAAGGTGTTTTTTTCTGTGTGTTGCCAGATACACAAAAGCTTGTCCGGACTACTCCTCATAAACTACTGGTGCAATTTTATCCAAACTTTACAGGAATGATCATTACCAAGTCTAGATGTGCACTGTCCGTCTGTCTGTCCGGTTGTCCCAAAACTTGTCCCAACATGAAATTGGCCATCATGAGGCGACACATGTGATCACTGATCGCTCTTGTTTTTTTATTTTACCATCTGGAGGTCAGTGGCTTTAAATTGGTAAGTAAATGTTGGGAAAAAGCTTATGCTTGTATAACTTGTGGGGTGAAAATCTTACACGCTTATTCAAACGGTTGAGCTTCAAGCTTTTTGCGCACTTTTGGAAGTTAAACCATTTCGTTAAGATTAAACGTATTTTATAGAACGCCAGAACAACTGAAAATGTTGCAGTAAAGTTTGTGCTGTTACATAAGATGTGTTTACTTTTAAGAAATTATTTATAGTGTTTTTTATCAATCTTAGTGAGGAGGGCATAATTTTACATTCTAAAAAGAGAGTGGCAATTAACTAATACAAAATTTAAAATTCAATATTTATTCCTTTTTATATATTTTATTGACCCCAATCTTCTAAGTTTTGGTATTCAAACAAAGTTGTAGTATATCAGTCTTTTACATTGTATGCAGCAACTTTGATAGATAAATTTCCATTTAATAATTATCAATCACTGTGTGCACAATTAGATTGGTAAACATGAAATAACTTTCAATATAAGTAAAAAGTGTGTAGATTCCATAGTTAAACATACTTCCGGCTTCACTTGCTCAGCTGAAAAATATGTTTTTATTGTCACCTGAAATACGTATATCTGGAAAGGCAAATTGATTAAAAAAAAAACCTTATATTTTAGTAATTTATTGAGATTATTAGGTTATAAATTACGTAAGAGTTAAACTATAGCACTAACCAAAATAAGTAATGTAAATAAAGTATTTTCGGAATTTCCGCACTAAAAAGGCTATACGTGATCATTTATCTGTTTACGTAAAAATAAGTTTCGTATACTAAAACAAAAACTAAGATTTGTGTTTGTATTGAATTGTGTCCATATTTATGTGCATTATATTAAAGGTGAACCGGAAGTACGTGTTCACAGCATTCGATCAGAACCGCCTTTTATTTTATTAAAAAGTATTAAATTATTAACATGAAATATATGTTCCAGAGTACCTGGGGCCTACCTGTTAGATATCAAATGGAATGGAAAACCATTTAAATGCTGTCCTTTTAAAATCGACGTGAAGAACCCCGTTTATCCAGAGAAAGTGGGCGTGACAGGAGACATAAAGACAGGGGTGTTGGGAAAAGATATAGATCTAAAGATAGATCCACGTGAGGCCGGACATGGTAAGTATTTAGAGAAAATGGATGTGTTGATTTCTTTATTTCTTCTTCATTTTCACAGTGCCATTTCGTATATATATTGTTTTTTTTATCAAAGGTATAATACATAAATATGTAATACTATCATTCTTTTACCAACTTGTTTTTTGTCTTTTTTTTTTTTTTTCATATGTATAAAATACCTTTTATTTCATTGAAATAGCAAATGGTTATTTTGCATTTAAAAGGATTGGTCATTTACAAGAAAATTTTCTCGAGAAATGTTTAGAAATAAATAGTAAATAGTTTAGGACAAACAATATATTTTGTACATTACTGTTATTTGTTTTACTACTAGTATCTTACAATGAAGACTGCAAGTTATTTGCAAGTTAGTTTGTACTGTAGAAAATCTTATCACTTTGAATCACACAATTTAGTACATTGGAATATTATCTAATATTATAATCAGAAATTAATTTCGTGTAAACTAATTTATTGTGATATAACATGTAGAAGCAGACTACAAAATTGACAACAGTAAGTAGACTCAAATACAGTCTGATGCAAACTTTCAATTTCACAAACTTCTTTCCGCAGTTTTCTTGGAATTTATTGTCTGAATGGCCAGGAAGGTTTCACGACTTGCAAGCCAATTACTTTCCTTGAATTCAATAGAAGTATATCCTAAAAAAACAAAAAATAAACGGTTAAACATTCCATGTTTAAACATTTGTAAATGCAATAATGTATGGTTTCTTCTTTTTCCTATTCAAAACATATATTATAATTAAAGTTTGCATTTGACATAGAGCACGTATTGTTAATGAGATGTGCATAAAACGTAGAATATATGACCTTAATTTTATTTTTGTTTTTGTGTCGAAGTACATATGAATTAAGGAATTAACATTATTTGCTTGTGTGGATAATGTACTGATATGAGGCTGTGATAAAAGATGTGAAGAAATTAGACGACTAACTTTGTTTGCTTTATTAAATGGTAACAGTGAAATATTATATTATCAAAATGGTTCGGGGTATTTTACAATAAAATAAGTTACAATGAAGATCTATAGCAGGTTTTTAAACTTTTGAGGAAATTTGGTTATAGATTTATCAATCGTCTGACAAAAGAGGTTTCTTTAATTCGTATGGTTCGAAAAAAGGAAGCCTTATGTTACAGCTACTGTAAATGAATAAAATATTATACAATTCCATCTGCTTTATATTATGACTAGTACTGGTAGTTTACATTGATACATTGACTTTGCCTGGAACAATTTGAGTGCTGTATAATGTACGAGAAGGAGATGGGGCGGGAGCAAACTAATCATGCAGTAAAGTTTATTTAAGATCAATATAAGTCGTGTGATGTCTTTATTTCATGTTTCAAGAAAGACAAATGAGATAACCTGTTACCCTAATGGCATCAGCAATTATAAGGTGTAAATGTACCTGTTGTTTTATTAAATAAAATTAAGATAATTTTATTCGCCATAGTAATTTTGAACTTGGCATTCATATTTTAAGCTGATAAGATATTAGGATCTGATAATAACATTGATAATTGTTATGATATTGAACAGAACCAGAACGTATAATTGGCGATTGTAAGTAAACTTTTACACAGTCATATGCAAAATTATTGTCATAGTAACATAAAGAAATTCACTGGTGAAAAACAAAATTGCATCTATAAATATGACATTAAGATGGTCAGAGGACGCCGCCTTGTCGTCGGCAATCATATAAGAACTGATTACCTGTGTCTTCAGATATGAGTAGTGTTACTTTGTAATTAGCATTATTTTTTTAATTTATTATAATTAAACAAAAGTGTTACAAACTTTGCATATGACTGATAAGCACGTCCTTTTTTATACATGATTATGAAGGTTTATGTTTTATCATTTATAACAGATACTTGTCTCTATAGACAGCATGTGAAAATTTGCTTCATATTAGCATCGATTCAAAACTATTTATTAGAAAACTATGTTGTTTCTAAACTTTATAAATGTAGCTTAATTTTTCGTATTGCATCTAGAACTGATATAAGTTTTGTCCAACAGTTTCATAACAAAACAAGATAATATTTTTAAAATGAAATTATTCAGATATTCTATCATTTTATGATAAAATCCAAGACCCTTACAATCATATCATTTTTGTTTAACAAGAAGAACCTTGGTAACTTATTCATTCATTTGTATCCATTTAAACATGTTAAACTAGACGAGTATTTAGGTAATGTATTTGATGTCATTATAAGATGCATGGATTTCACTGTAGAACAAATTATCTTATGTAAATATGCTTGTTCAATAATGGAATGTAAAAGCATTTGTTGCACGTGTTGTACCATTTGCAAGGAATGACTGTCACGTGTTGAGAAAATGTTTTTGATGTTTCTAAAGTTGTAACTTACTTTTGTTTCAGATAACAATGGTAAAATAAATGCATATGTGTACTATTTCATAACATTTTAAAATTACTAAATAAACGTATGAATATAAGGGGTGTTTGAAAAGGACGGCCGTCTTTAACTTTTGTCATAAATATTGATGGGTGCTGTGTGTAGATATGACAAAATATAGTTCCTGAATGTAGCCCTGATTTTTGTCCTTAGATTAATAAGACAATTTCTATTGAAGAACGGACCTTAATTGATCTTGAAGAACCATGTTTACAGATATATAAAACATATGTAACATGGTTTGATAAAATTTGGTTACCTTTGATAACACCCCTGGTATATCTTCTGTTATATTCTTCGGATTTATCAGATATTTCTCAATTATTTAAACAAATTTCTGTATCTACTAATTTTACATATATTGGTTATTTCTCTCTTTTTTCTTTGGTTTCTACAACATGATAAGAATCATATATCAAAAGATGTTTTCAAATTATAAAGAACAGATTCAAGTTATTGCATGAATTATGGTTATAAGGTTTCTTATGGGAATATTTCTTTTATTACAAGTATTCTGAATTATAAAAAACGTGCATGCTGTGAACAAAAAGAATGAACAAATAATAAAAAACAATTACATATGTATTATATGGGTTACAATCTATTGAGTTAGCAAGCATGACTTGCAAATATATGTGACCTGTTCCATTTCGCATAATGTTAAGGTAATAAAATTATATCAATTTAGGGTGCATTGTTGTAGAATACTACACGGTTCAAATAAATCGCGTATGAATATAATCACCGAGTCGCGATTTGGTTTATTGACGTCATATGACGTGTAAGCGTACGTTTGTCTGTTCTTCGCATATATTGTGTAGTAATGCACTTCCCCTATATGTTAAATAGGGGAATGGTGTGACGCATGTAAGAGTTGATAATATTGCATTTGATAGAAACGATCCTCATAAAAGTTAATTTCCATGAAGACAAAGTATTTCCTGTACAATATTTTTGGCATGTCTTTGGTTTTTATTTCAAATGCTTGTTGTATAGTATTCTACAATACTAGTATACGTTTGATAATCATAACTTATATTTAGGTCATATTATACGCCATTTTAGTCTTAGTATTTACACATATGTTTGGTATATATGCATGTTGGGTCTCATATTCGAATGAACATGTAGTGTTGTATAGTTATCATTTATAGGGACTCAAAATAAAACATTTATAACCAATAAAAATATTATTTTAATTGTAAATACTTCATAAAAGACATTTACTCGTATTAATTAGCTTCTTGTTACTGTATACTTTACGAATCACGTCTGAAAACCGGGAAAAAAACTAGCTTTTTTAGATATGTGTTGATGCAATAAATAAAAACTGATCGTCAATTGAAGGGATTGTTTTTATTACCTTATTTTTCACCACCTTCATCCAAGCCAAATGATTTTTTCTTCTTACTATACAGAATTTTGGCAATTTCTTTAAGTGGTAATGTAGTTATTTGAAGTTAAATTGTGAAACAATTTTTGTTTTCATACATATTTAACAAGCACTCCCTTGTTTGTAACATTATTTAGACTGTATAAAAATATTGAACCTACTATTTGCAGGTGAATTAACTATTGATTGTAAAGACCCTGACGGTCTAGATGTTCCTGTTCACCTAACAGACAATTTCGACGGCACATACCGGCTAAAAGTAAATCCGGAAAAGCTTGGAAAACATATTCTAAGCATTAAACTAAATAAACATCACGTTTTTGGTATGTTTTTCAACTGTAGTAAATTTTCATTTCAGTGTTATATTGCTACTGGTCCTTCGAGATATTTGTTTCCAATTCTTTTAGTGTCGAAGATTGAATGCCACTTAAGACGGTGCTAGGGGGCTAGATATTTGTTGCACTTTTTATTATCTTTCATTAACAGAATAATAAAATCGAGTTTGAGATTATATTTTTGTTTTTTTATTTTATTGCTCTCAGGGAATCTACCGATTTCAGCAGTTTAATAATAATGCTATTTATTTTATGCGTTTCAGTGGATTACTGATTTATCCGTGAAAATTATATTTGATAATTTTGCAGACTCGGTTTGATTGAGTCTGTACATGAGGGATAATGAATAAGTGCAACACCCCTCACGCCCCCTAGCAACGGCTTGAGCGGTACTCAATTCTCAACACTTAATAGTGTTGGCATAAATAAGTTTTCTATTTTGCAATCATGCCATTTGCAGCAATATTAAAGCCAATCACCACAACACATTGGAGCTAAATTGAAACAATATAGCAATATCCTCTGAACTGAAAATTTCTATGGAGAGCAATGCGGAATATATGATTCCGTATACAGAACATACTAAAGTAGAATTCATTATGCTGACAAAGTCAAAAGAAAAGTTTCAATCACAATTTTGTGTTAAGCCGTATCAAATGTGCATTTCACATTTATAAATGATCAATTTCAGTACAAATAAATTTATTTACCAATTTCGACACAATGATTATTTCATTATAATGTCTCACTATCACGGAAATATTAATATTTACATATTGTTTTATTTTCCAGGAAGCCCATTTGCAATCGAGATACACCCGACTGCAAAACATGGTAAAGTTAAAGTATGGGGACCAGGTTTGGAAAATGGTGTGTTTCCAGAGTACCAAGGTCATTTTTTCGTAGATGCGACCGGTGCAGGGGGAGGTGAACTTCACGTGAGCGTTATGGGACTTAAAGGGTGAGTTGCACATGAGCGTTATAGGACTTAAAGGTGAGTTGCACGTGAGCGTTATGGGACTTTAAAGGTGAGTTGCACGTGAGCATTATGGGACTTAAAGGTGAGTTGCACGTGAGTGTTAGGGGACTTAAAGGTGAGTAAACTATTACAAGCACCTGTTCCATTGCGGTGTCTACTCTGCATTCGGGATTTTCTAATGTATTTATTATTGTTGCCTTTATTGTATAGGTTTTTTCTTCATCAAAGTATTTAATGTTTTTTTTTGTCCCTTGTGATTAAGGGGTTCCCTTTAATGGTTGGGGCAAAGGAATTGATGCCACCGTTTATCCCTGCGTGATCGTAAGAGTGGATTCGAATGACTGGAGTCTATCCATCTCTTAGTTCCATCAGGTGAGAAGGTTTTAACCCATGGTGTTGCTTTTAAGATTGTAACACCCGAGGGTACCCAAAATAATCTTTCCTATTTCGGCGCCATGTGACCCATACTGCGTTTGTGCGTCGTTAAATCAAACAAACAAACACTATTTATTGTTATTTGACAATGCTCTCCCGTTATTTAATAAGAATTAGTGCTTGTAATTCTATGGTCTGTCATTATTTATTCACGAAGTTTTAGTTTTGAATATTTTTTATTCCAGGAGCTTTCCATGTTGAAATGAAGAGGGCAAGCCAAAAAGACAAATTGTTTAATTGCTTGTACCACCCAGTCGAACCAGGAATGTACACAATAAACGTGCAATGGTCTGGTGAACATGTTAACGGAAGTCCATTCAAGGTGCTTGTTGCCAATAGTGAGATGGAATTAGTTGACTATGAAAGCAAGATAGAAAGGTATTCTGATTATTCAGTTTAAATTATTGCTCTGAATAATATGATTTGATTTAGCCTTGACTGTGCAGCAAAGTCTTTCAATTGTCCAAATATACGTCCGGTTGATAACCAAGTTCTGTGAATACATTAAAATAATAAACTGGTTGCGATCCGAGTAAAGCCTGATCCTTATATGGATCTACTTTTTATTACTGAGCCGCTACCGTTTTCTTATATATAATTTATTGTAATTAACTGCAATAAGATCTATAGTAATTTTTTTCTGGAATTTTTTAATATTTATTTTTTACCTCATCGTCTAAAGTTCAATTTTTGTAATCAACATTTTTTTCTATCTCCTTTTCCTCAATATCCATTTAAAGAAATCTAAGAATTATATCTTGCTTATCTGCTTATAACAAACATAAAGAAATTTATCCTTTATTGCATGGTTTTACATGTATAGCTTTTGTTCTTTAGGTCGAGGGACTCGTCATCAAGAAGCTCTGGAAAGCTCTCCCCATTAAATACCACTCATAACAGCATTATGTACTGACGTCATAGCACGTAATAGCACACGTCATAACACACGTCATCCTGCTGCATCTAATTTCGATAAAGGCAACGTAGAATCGTGTTCAAATACAACCGCCAAAATTTCATAAATATGGTGATGCAACTGGCAATACTCAACATGGGTTAAAATGTGTATAACCAGTCCTGTTGCAAAAATACAAAATATAAAGTATACAACACTATTCAAGTAGATTAGAAATAGGATAGAAATAACATACAAGCATCTCGTGTGAACAAGGGGTAATTCATAGCTTACTTAAGTTCATTTATCGCTTCAGTATATGCTTAACATATGATATTAAATATAAGAGGTACATGTGGAATTAGTGAATGGTCAAGGAGCACAGTCAATTACAAATGAAGAGAAGATTATCTACAAACAGCAAGATAGATTAACAACAGCGCTCTAAATTCAAAGGATGTCATAGCAACATTTTTTAATCGTATAAATAATAAGATTTCTTAAAAGCAGCCAAGCACGGAAAATAGAATATTGAAGACTAGAATTCAATCTGAAAACGTGTGAATGGAAGTCGCTCAATGTTACCATTTGATATTGTAATTTATGAATGCAACGAAAAACATAATTTCTACATCTTTTTTTCAAATATTTATTACAAGTCTTGAAAAAGACACCAAATGCTACCTCATGACTTGATTGTTTTCATGAAATCAACCGGATGTGCATGTATATATGTTGCTTTGTTGTTGTTGTTGTTTTTTTTTTGAACGCTTTGCAAGCTTCACATTAGTATTTGCACTTAACTATCGGCCCATTTTCCTCGTTGGTATTCACCTATGTTGTGACATAATATTCATTAAACTGTAATAAATGTATTTGGTCGTTAAATTCTAACATTGAAACTGTGACCCCCGATAAAGTTTGATATATTGTTAGATACGTGTATTTTTTATCGTTTTTGCCATTTTCTTATTTCATATTTACCAGCAATGTATATCGATTTGGTTTCCAACATGTTCATGCCTTTAGAATTCTTGCAACTATTACAAATGTAGTTTTGAACGATATGTAGTATTCAAGCTATCATGCCATTTTCAATGATTTAGTTAGGTAGTTTCTTTGTTCATTTTAAATTTGCAACAATTTCTTTTGACACTTGTCATTTTCCATTGAAACAAATGGGAATACAATTTTTTGAAACCAGTTGCTGAGTGAATTAGAAAACTTGCGCAATTTGTTTTCCTTTTTAGTATGTTCTTGGTTGGGTAATCGTTTTTGGAGAATGGTAGCTGTGTAATTATAAATGAGGTGGTTTTGTCATTAATTATTATATACATGTATCCTTTTGTTCGTGTATTTTTATGCTTCTTTGATATAAGACTGATTAATTATGTGTTTTTGTATGTATGTATGTTTATGTATTTTAATGTTAAATTCTTAGCCTACTGACAGCGACCACAACAACCTTTGCAAACAGCATCGTACCTCAGCGTCTTGTCAGGAACCAAGCTGTCCTAAACTTCAAAATGATGCAGACGAAATTTAAGCAGACGACATTACCCTCTAGGTAGCAGCGGGCTTAGAATTATTACTCTACAAGATGGTGCTGATAATAGTGTGTCTTATTATGATTTGCTGAATTTATGTTATGGTTTAGCCAAGTTTTAAATTTAGAACAGTCCACTTAAAGTGTAAGGGATTTCAATATCAAAATACAAAAACTGAGTTACTAATAGTATAGAACCTGGTCTGATTGCTCGGACGTGATAGTTGGCCTTGCTCTATACTGGTGGCTAATGCTGATCACTTAAAATAGATTCAGGCAAGTTAATAGTTAATTATAGTTATAAATATATAAAGTAATTGGGTAGTTATAATGTTTATTAGTATTGTACATCAAAGATCTGAGAAGCAAAATTATTACAAAAAGACAAGCTCTTCTTTAGAAACATTTATTAAATTATGTTTACAGTCATAAAGGAAAACATTTATTTTCTCCTTATGTTTACTTTAAAGCAATGATTTCATGTATCATAAAAGTTAAAGTCCTCCTTTTATCATTTCATTTTGCAAATTTATTTACATGTGGGTAGAGCAATGATTTACAATATCTTTGTTGTTGAGCGTTGACAAATATATAACAGTTATACATGTATATATATTTATATAGACCAATGTATGAAAATTATAAATACATGTATAGATATGGTATATAATAATTTGTATAGGAATAAAATGTATGCTATTTTATTATCAAAATGCTGAATTTAATAAAAGTTATGAAAAACATATAGTGATTAGTTCTGTTTAACTACCAATGAATGTTAAATAAATGCATCTTTACTTTTAAGTCGGTTCCATGAGACCCATTTATGACATTTTATGGTGTAACTAAATAGCTTCCTGTCATGCAAATTTGAAACTCATCTAATGAAGTATCATATAAGTAGTCCAATGATTTCGCAATAACGCTTTGCCACAAGGACCAATAATAACATACCAATTAAATTGCCCCCTGACAAAAAATATTGTTATTTCATGTATCTATGTTTATATTTTATGAGTGTCATCATACTAATTAAAGAAATCTTTAACTGAGTACATCGTCGTCATATAACAGTCATAAATCATTTACGTTTATGCTTCACAGAGCAGTAACTAAAGCGATGCCTGATAAAAGTACATAGGGTCATTACTCGTATACTGTCCAATGTAAGTACTGTTAAATGTAAGAATGGTCATTCCTGGGGCAATGATTTGATGTAGAGTACATTTCATACAATAATAACAAAGGCAATACACTAGGTACGAGAGTACGAACTCCGGTATTTTCCCGTGTTAAAACGTTTACGACATTTGCAGTTCTCAACGAAGCACTACACAAGATACACAAAGTCATTATTCTAGGGTACTCCCGATTCAAAAGACATCATAAATGAGGCATGGCTTGTACGTTCGAATACTCACTGCATATGCTCTTTACATTTGATAAAAACGAGATTTTTATAAAAAAAAACATATAAGACCCCTAATGACACCCATTATTCCTGAAACTTAAGACTTCTTAAATTGTCACATTGGCGATATCTACATGTCGAGTCCAAGATTCCAAACCAAAACTTTCATCTTAAGAGACAAATTTTTAAATTCTACCAGTCAAGACTTACGTCCAAACCATATATTTGGACTGTACATCTGACATGATCTTTTCTACAGACATATCGACGAACCTAACGGACTGACATCTTATTGTTTTCATTTAAATGCAAACCCTATTTAGAGTAAATAGACATGCGCTTTGAAAATCTGGATAAAATGTGATCCAGCGGAATCTTTGATCACAACAAAATAACACGCCAGTTTACTGATTCGTATGTATCACAACCAGTTATCGTACCAGTGTGAATTTTAATAGTCGGAAGTCAGGTAATGCGTTTGATGCTCTTTTCCTTTTTGCCTGTAAAGCAATGCAACTCTTGTTCTTTGAAATAATCTGAAGGGAAATATGTTCGGTATATTAAACAAAAGACAATTATCATATATATCTTATTTCAAAATATTCAAGGAGGTCATAGCATAAACACATTTTACAAAAAACTTTTTTTAACAATTGAATATGTGGACCAATGTCACTTTAACAATGGAAAATGAAGTACAAATGTTCATAAATATAAGTGTCAAATATGATGACCATGGCTTGGTGAAACAATGATAAAAAATACATTCAGGCAAAAATGTAACCTTTGTATGTTTAATGTTAGATGATGGAGATGAATTTCAATTTTACTCTTGGGGTCATGATTTGAAGAAGCTTAGTCGAGGTCCATTAGATTATGTTGAATGCGAATACGGCTAGGCATTGCTGTTCGGAAGAGATAAATTGAACGATTTCCCCATATATCTCAATATAAAACTAAGGATCCCTGGGACGAAAGCGATCCAAGGAATAAATTTGTGAATGATCAATAACGGAATGTTTCATACAATATCAAAGCTCTAAGCCTTGTGGTATTGGAGAGGTTTTATTTCAAAATTACTTTTATAATTCATTGTTTCTATTCTGTTGTTTCAATTGGTTGCCATGGAAACCAGTTGATTTCTTCGTGGAATTCTTCCAGCAACTCTGTCCGTCACATAAGGTACAATCCTGGAAAGTACGGTTAAAATCTTTTTGAGACGGATTTTTGATGTTTTAACACTATATAATCAACATAACGGATACACAAAACAAACACCTACAAGTCATCTCAGATGCTGCTGTGATGTATAAAAACAATATGCAAAACATGAAAAAACAACATGCACATTCATGCACGTACACTAACACGTACACACGTACATTCAAGTGTCAAAATGTATTTATAGTAACATCAGTTACAACGCAAACTGAATTAAATTTACACTTTCAACGTTTTAGCATCAACATTCTCCCTAAATCATTAACATAAGTAACGCAATAGCCTATGTTCACGGAACATTTTTGAATATACTTTGGACAGTGTTTCTTTTTTATCATCAGTCCCTTCATGTACGGTGAAGGCTTCCACCAGCAGTCCTGTCTCTCTAAACATCATCTGGACTTCTATTTCCCCATACTTTACGCCGGAGCCCAAATTTACTGTAATTACATCAAGCTCCTTTATTTCATTTCTATCTGAATATTCTGGCTCTCTTTTTTCTGACTGTAGAATGTTCATAAGTATTTTTCCTTGATATGGGAAAACAGATCTATACCTCCAAAATCGTAGGTGACCGGTGTTGACTTTTTCACCTTTCATGAAGTATCTTCTGAACAAATGTTTGCTTACGTCTATATTTGACATCCTGAGTTGATGGTCAATGTTCTCGTCATGAAAACGACCACAGAAATTTACACCGTAAGTGAACGGACAATTTTCCACATGCTTTGTGAAATCATATACAATGGCTGCCTTTACGTGTACATAGTTGGCACAATTTTTGGAAACAATGACGGCTCCATCAAAGTTGCCAGTCATTGCATCTTTAATTTTATTATTTTCTAAAAGTGTTCCGAAAAAGATAATTGAATTTGCCCCCGACATTCTATGTTTGCTTAAAAGTGCCTTAATTAGAGAAGTATTCCCTGAAATACAATTTTCAAACACTGTTTTCAAAATACTGCTTTCAAAGCGTAGCTTGCTACCAACCATTGATACTTTTAATAGTTTGGAAAGGTTCTGTATTTCTTCCCCGATGTTTTTACCAGTTTTCCTTTCATAAAGATAACAGAGCAGCGAAGGTAGCATTAAAGTCATTGTCCTGTTTGACCATTTACTTGCAATCTCACGTGTAATCTCGTCAAGCCACATTGGATCTTTTTCGATAAATTCTTTATAAACACCCTGTCCAAATAATAAAGGGAAAACTTCAATGCATTCTGAGACACATTTTTTTAATCCCCATTCTCCGAGACGTTTATCGATTGTCCTGCATGTGCCATCCTCTAAACGTTCGTGAACGCTTACTTCAGCCTGGTCATCTGTAATATAGAACACAATATTATACATGTACATAAAAACATCATATTATCTTAGGTCTCAAGAAACGTTTATCAAGTCAATAACAAAACAAGGAGGCCATGGTGGCTTACCTGATTATTTGGGCTTTATCAATATTGTTAGCTATTTATAAAAAGCAGATAAAAAGTCGCAATCTTTCACTTATATTATCACTTTCATATCTGCACTTGAAATAGTGCAAATGTAGACAAAGTTGTTCCATATATGGACTTACCTCGATCCACGACAACTCATGTTCGATAATTTAAACAATTTTGTGGATAAATATCCATAATATTTAGGCTGAAAATAGTACATTTACAGTAATTACAAGGTTTTTTTTCAATATTTGAGCTCTTAGGCCTAGTTTTGTTTTTCCCAAGATGACCTATTTTCAATGCTAGATAATATCAAAACAACATTTTTTGACCATTTTTCAGGATATTTGGGCTGAAACATTTTTTTCTCCAGTTAACAATGATATTTACAGCTGTGTGACCTAGTTAATTACCCCAGATGTTCCATATTATTACAAGAGCTAGAAATCATTTATAAACAACCTTTTTAATCAATTTACCGGAAAAGTAGCCTCTACAATGATAGAAGAGTTTTCCGTATTTGGATTGCGTGACCTAGTTTTTGGACCCATATGACGACGACGACAGGCGATGGACGGCGAACATTCAACGATCCCTAAAGCTTACCATGTGTGTGCTAAAATATTGTATTACTTACGTGCTAATTCGGCAGTTAGAAATTTGTATCCTGGCTTCCAATAGTCATCTGGTAATTGACCAATTATTTCGTCTTGTGGTAAACTATACATCTCGCTGTACTTGATAATACTGGTTGCCTTAGATACAACTGATACATTATCTTTGTCTATTCCAGCCTAAGATAAAAATGATAATAAATTCATCTAATTTTCAAATCAAGTTTGAGTCAAAAGTGCCCTAATACTAAATTCCTTAAAAAAATTTCAGGCCCCACATGGGGTAACCCCATTTTTTCGCTTCGTCACATAACCATTTGTGGGTCGAAGCACATCCCACGGTGGTTTTACAATTATTATTTTCATACATATGAACGGTTATACCAGATGTGAAACCAATGTAATGAAAGAAAAAACAACAATTACAAAAAATCAAAAAGAAAACACACACACACAAAATAACAACAACAACAAAAAAACACAAAGAGACAAGGACGACACATGCATTCACACTCGCACTCATAACCGTATTTTTTAAGAAATAATTTCAAAAGCATCAACATTATATAAAATTTAAAGCATCTTATTTTGGCTTGAATTATTTCTCAATTACTTAAACTCAAAAACAGTACTTTTCAGTGTAGAAATTAGATTTTCTCAGCTGACATTTTTCTTTTTTAAAATAAAAAAAATAATTTTCTAAAAATACTCCAAACATTTTCAAACTTCGGTAATCTATTATTTATGATTGCTACCTCTTTATCAGTCTTGAGCTTTTGTGTTATAAAGTTTTTGGCTGCAATCATTGATAAAGAAAGATCAAGCATTTTTCACTGATAAATATACATTTTAAAGTATACTAAAAATAAATATTTTGCGATAGATAAATCATCCTTTGCATTATAGCCAAACATCATTTCTTTTATACCAAAAGATAAAAAAGGTGCTTCATTTATTTTAAGAAATTCATTTATAATTTTTTTGACAATTGGACACAGCCAAAATAGATGCTCAATGCTTTCAACATAAAGGACTTTCTTTATACTTAATTTTGTATAAAAGATAATTAATTCCAATAATTCTGTGTAAAATTCTTGTTTGCAACCATTGCAACTGGGCACATTTTGTAATTCTTAAAAGCATTTCGAATATAAGTTTCCATTCATTTTCACTAAAAGCTAAATTAAGGTTGTTTGTCCATTTTTCGATACTTGTTGGCTTTGATTTGTTTTTATTTAATATATCATAGAAAGGTTTTGCTCCATTTATGTCTGATTTAATATCTTTAAAGTATAGCGGTATGTCTGGGCCAATGCTTTTCTGTGGGATGTTTTAAATTACATTATATTTATTTAGAATTGCTTTACTGATAAAATCAAACCGTTGAAAATTAAGACATTGTATCTATTTATAAATTCATTATAAGATAAAAACTTTCCATCAGACATTAGGTGTTCTATGTTATGAACTCCAGCATCGAACCACGGTTTAAAATATACGCTTTTTGAACCAATTAATATGTTATTGTTATAAAAATAAAAGATGTTTTCCGAAAGAATGATTTTCGATTGGAATTAATTCAATAAAGCGTGAAAATGCTGTAAAAGTGTCCTTCCAAAAAAGAGTGTTTGTTTCTTTTGCAAGTTTATCAAAATAATGGTTTCCGCAGTGAAAAACCTTTTGCATATCTATTTTGTCGTAAAGAATTCTTTTCCAACTAGCATTTGAGATTATACTTATAAACCATTTTATTTTTAATGACATGATAAAGGCAGAAATATTTATCATCTACAAGCAGCCCTCATCATAGATTTTTACAAAAACGGAAGACTTAATTTTTACATTTCCTTGCCAAATAAAGTCACTAAACATTGTATTTAATACACTGATTACATCTTCAGAAGGGTTTGGTATTGATGTCAAAATGAGATTAAATGACAACAATTTTACCTATTGGTGTGAGAATTCTTCTTTTCCAATTTTGAATAAAATTTCGGATATTTTCTATTCTTTCGCTATAGTTTAAATCTATTATTTTACTTAAGTCAACATGAAAATGTATGCCTAACATTTTAAATTGAAGTTGATTCCAAGACAATTTCCATTTGTTTTTAGACTGTTTTAAGAATATTTCATTTTTCCTATCCACACAACCTTAGTTTTATCAAAATTAACATGAAGTCCCGATAGTTGTGCAAAATCTGACAAGATTTCCAAAGATTTATTTAAAGACGCACTTGATACATCCAAAATCATTGTTGTGTCATCTGCAAATTGTGACAATTTAGGTTCTACATTGTTAATGTTTATTCCTTTAAAATCTTATCATTTCTTATTTTTAAAGCTAGAACTTCAGCACATAATACAAAAATATATCATGAAAGAGGATCTCCTTGTCGGCAGCCTCTACCTATTTTTACAAAATTTGATAAAAACCCACATTGATTAACAGCAGAAGTTGCATCTTTATATAAAGTATCAAACCATTTTTTTATTGACGGACCAAAGTTAAAAAAGAAAGGGTATTCTGTACAAATGACCAAGAGAGTGAATCAAAATATTTTTTCAAAATCTGTTAAAAGGAAAAGTCCAGGAACGTTATTTTCTTCAGTATACTGCATGATATCATAGATAAGACGGGTATTTTCTCCAATATATCTTCCTTTGATGAAACCTGTGTGATCTTGATTTATAAGTTTATCTAGAGTAAGTTTTATTCGATTCGCTACGCAACCTGAAGCACTTTTGTATACGGTATTAAGAAGTGTTATAGGTCTCCAATTTTTCACGAATTGTTTTGGTTTATTTTCTTTTGGAATACATGTTATTACACCTTGTGTTTGGGTCACTGACAATTTATTTGAAGTATAAGCATCATTGATAGCTCTTACCACAAAAGGACCTAAATTTTTCCAGAATACCTTATAAAAATCTGCACTAAAGCCTGATGTCCCCGGGCTTTTATTATTTGCCATATTTTGTAAAACTTTACTAGCTTCTTCATAACTTATATAGCCTTCTAATACATTGGATTCCGATTCACTTAAAACCGGTGCTTCTATATTTTCCACAAATTGTAAAAAATGATCATTTGCATCATATGACGACTTTTTGCTGAAAAGAGTTCTATAAAAATCTTCAATTTCTTTTAATATTAACTTTTGATCATTAAGAATACTACCGTCATATTTTTTAATCTTATGTATAGTCTTAGTTATATAACTATGTTTTTCTAAACCGCAACAAAAATTTGAAGGTTTTTCTCCTTCTTACGTCCATTTTGCTCTTGACCTTATAAGATAATCTTGAAGCTGAATATTTTTAAGTTCTTCTAAATAATTTTGCAATTCTTGCTATCGGTTAGTTTATCGTCTGACAAGTTTGATTCGATTTCATGTATTTCATTTATTATACTTTTTTCATCATTTCTTTCTTTTATCTTTAGATAACTGCCGTAAGATATAGCTGTCCCTCTCAGTTCCATTAAAAAAGTTTCTAAAAACAACTGATCGTTTATCGTAAACTGAATTTCATCATTTGGTATTTCCGATATATTTCAAGGTTTATATATATAGTAAAGAATAAAGTTTTTTTTTATATCAACTATTTTTGTCTGTATTTAATTCAAATAATCTATATCTTTTAAAAGGGAATTATTATGTTTCCAGAGACCTTTACCGTGTATAAAATCATTAAATTCATTAAAAATATTTGACTATTGACAACCTTTCTGATTTCACATTCTCTTACGAAAAATATCTTTTTGCGTAATATTCGTTTAACCAGTAGCATACACTTTAAAGTTACATTTAATAAATTTCATAAAAACAGAAATAGCGACATTTCATTAATAAACTGGGTTTCATATCGACTCCAGAAATCTTATTTTTTGTCCAGCCAACCAAAATGAGTTTTATAAGCATAAAAATGTGCAACCTCTATGTGGCGAATTCGGGAGTACATTCTCTGTTTGCATGAGAAACTCCGCCTTCAGATCATCCGTGCATCAATGTTACATCAACAAACATGACTATAAGTAGCTGTCCTAATTTAACGGTATATTTCCGCATTGTAACGGATATTTGCATACAAATTTTATCTGATTATTTTTTTTCTGAACCCCAGGCCTAGTACACCGTGAAACTTAAACGGTAAACATGTGTTTGAACAAAAAAATCTTATATTTGCTGTGTTCCGGATAGCAACTATAACTCTGTGACGTAGCGCATACACGAGCTGATTACAGTCTTCGTTTGCATGTTAAAATTCGTATACGAACTTTAGTGTTAACGTCGGGTTTTCCATTTAAAATCCTAATTTATGAACAATATTTGTTGAGATTTACAACGATACTGTTAAAGAGGTTAATGAAACTGTAGAATGCTTGGTTTTAAGGCCAGCGGCAAAAATATTTTTAAATATTTATTTAATGAAGATTTAAAGTAAATAAAACACGTTTCTGAAGTAACATTAAAAATCATACTAAACCTTTCCTGCAGCACTTTTCAACATTGATTGACATGTTGTGGATACGGTATCTGAGACAAGATATACTAGTTGAATTTCTTTTGCTCTATGAAAATAAAACCACGAAGAATGCAATGCAAAATTGATAAGATAACCAGTCAACGCTCGAAATAGGTCGCCAGCATTCATTGAATTGCCGTTGGTGGAAAATAGTTTTGTCGTATCAGTAAGCTGTAAATTAAGAAAAATCACTAAAAATCATTTAAACAATAAACTTAATACTACTTTCAAGAACGTATGTTTTGAATGCTCAAGTAGGCGGTTACTTACAATATTTAATCAATAATTCAATAGGCCATCAGGTGAGAGATTGAATGAAAATGCGACCTTTAAAGAATCATATTATACTAAAAACTTATATTTTTGTCAAAAGAAAGTGAAATAAGTCTCTTAAAATATTTGTGACTTATTTAGATTTTAAAACGATAAAAAATTATATGTCAATCATATCAGCAGAATATTTTATTGATAAGAAAACCGAGGATCACTGACCTTTTCAAGGTATTCTTTAAAATCATATAAAATATCGTAAGTTTAATTCATGACTTGTTTCTATTACAAGAATAATATATGGTTCAACTGAAAACGTTAAGTATCATAAAAAGACTTTTTCATGTCATTTTTCAATTTGGACGATACTATTCATCATTCATAGAGAAAATTCAAAATTTGTACAGACAAAATAGCACAGTGCAGACCAAGATCAGACAGTACTGATGAGTCAAGACTCCAAATGACAAACAGATTGCCCAAGGTTCTTGTCAAAACAGACCTAGTTTCAAATCAATTTGAAAAAATCAATAGCATGTCTTCTATGAAGTCTTATTTAAAATGATATGAAAAGCGCGTGACATGTCGTCTGAAGAGGAGTTATGCAGATTAGGTTTGATACTGAAAGACATTTAAATCATAACACAAAACGTGAAACGATCAAAATATATAATAACAGGAATACAGTTGTCTTGAACACGCAATACATTGTAACACTTATTTCATATCCAATCTCTGCGTAGGAATGAAATTCGGTATCAATTTGTATGGGAATAGAGAAAATAAATCCCCCTTAACCAATGCATAAAATAAATGCATAACATAAATCAGTTGATATTGATAGTCCGTCACCTACGAGTCAATTTTATCAAAATATTTCCCATGTGGGAAAATACAACCCTTCCTTCTTATTGCTTTGTTTATGTTAGAAATAAAAGTAATCTAACAATTTTGGTAGTGAGTCACCCATAGGCCATTTCTATTAGGTCATATTCTAGTCAACAAAATACGATGTCTCCTGCTAAGAGAAAAGTGACCATGCCCTTTAACTTGGTGTTTTATAAACTGAAATGTTTAAATAATCTAGAGGTAATGGTACCTCGGGATCATTTCTTTAAAAAATAATACAATCAAACACACAAGTATAAAGAGGACATTTTGAAAGTTTTCTTCTCTATGTTGGCAAATAGACCAAACTAATCAACATTATTAACAGATGGTCACCCACATGTCATGTCTGTAAAATAATCAAATAATCAAAGGAATGATTTTAGCAGAAGTTTTCCTAAAAGCATTAAGCAAAAAATAGACTACGCCCTTGTACCGATTTGGTAAATTTTATAAAGCATTATAAAATTATTTGACAACTTTTCTTTTTGGTTATTTTGGTAACTATTGCAACCAGAGTTCTACATAACGTTGCATTTTAAGACCACTTATTAAAAGATAAGTGTGAACGGACGTATGGTTAAAAAAATTGATGTGGGTCATTATTTTATTTCTTTTGTTGAACAGAGGGTAATGATTTCTTATTCTATTGTGATGGAATAAATCGATTATTTGTTTTTAATAAATGTCCCTAGATCTAAAACATTTGTCGGATAGTCGGGACGATGAGTGATCATAATAGCTCATCCTTACCACTTTACATGCACTTTGGTGAGCTAAAAAAAGAACCTACTCACTTTTTCGTTTCGTAAACATTTGTCATACTGGTCAAAGAAGAGCCAACAGTCCGCTTCCCCTTCAGTTTTGAAATCCTTGTACTTTTCCATAGCTTCATTGCCAAAATAACACAAGCGCTGATCAGCATCAAACAGTAGACATGATTTCGGGGTAGTTAGTGATTCTTCGTTACCAAATTTGCAACTTACAATGTTTTCGAAATTCCCGCTTTTTAACTCATGAATGAAGCCAAGCCCAACACACGTGAAACCACTCCTTAAAGCTCCTAAGTCAATTGTCATCCATACTATTTTTGACGATTCTTTATAAGACTTCACTACCTGTGTGTATAATAATCTTTGTGTAAGTAAATAAATATTATTAAAATCGCATTTATTCTCAGACATATTAATAAGAATGTTTACTTCTGTAAAACATGGCGATCGGTAAAACCCAGATTGTAAAACCCCGAAGCAGTAGCTAAAAGGACATGTGAAAGGCAAGAACATACAGGCAAAGTCATAAAGTGGCACATATGATTTTCATAAACAAATGAAGATGTAAAGTGAATGGTAACCGTTTATATCCCATACCAATGTGTGCAGTTTAAACAAATTATCTACAAGGGCTTTCAGGTCATACTCCAGACAAGCTTTTTTTCTAAAAGGGGGGGATAATTCAAAAAAGGGGCAAAACACAGTTATGGTTCTTACGCACAGCACTCTGTTTCAACGCCCTCTACTACTGTGTGTACTTCAAACACATTATCTTCAAGGGCTTCAGGTTATGCTCCAGAAAAGGTTTTTCGAAAAGGGGAGATAATAAAAACGGGCCAAATTAGAGATATGGTTCTTTGGCACTGCACTTTGGGCCAATTTCGACCCGAGGGTTTTATTTGAACAAACTTGATAGACACCCATAACATTTTTCATGCTAAATATGAGCCGCGTCATGACAAAACCAACATAATGGGTTTGCGACCAGCATGGATCCAGACCAGTCTGCGAATCCGCGCAGTCTGATCAGGATCCATGCTGTTCGCTTACAAACCCTATTTCAAGTAGAGAAACAGATAGCAAACAGCATGGATCATGATCAGACTGCGCGGATGCGCAGGCTGGTCTGGATCCAAGCTGGTCGCAAACCCATTATGTTGGTTTTATCATGACGCGGCTCATATCTAACCTCTAGCTCTTTGGTTTTTTAAAAGAAGATTTTAAAGGTTTTACTGCATACATATAAGGAAAATCTATAACCCCCTTGGGCAGGGCCAATTTTGACCCTAGGGCTTTTGTTTGATTAAACTTGGTTGACTCAAAGATTTTTCATAGTTAATAACTTACTAGCTCTTCTGGTTTTTTAAAAGAAGATTGTTTTAAATTTTTACTATATACGAGGGTTGTCTCGAAAGTGTTAAATTACAACAAATCATTTACAAAAAAATAACTCTAGTTACTTAGACATTTTCAGTATTAACGACATTAGTTTGAGCTGCCGGCGCATGTCAAATTTTGTTATGAATAGTCTAAAATTAATTACGTATATTTCAAATATCTGATAATGTGTCTGCACAATGTCACGTTGACTAGGTCTGCTATGTTTACATCATCTCAGAAAATTTGAGTTAAATAACTTAAGAAACGAAAAAGATACGAATAAATGAAAATATCTCATATAATACAGGAAAGTTAAATTGGCAACGTCCGAAGAATTTGCGGCGCAGTGAACAGGTCATTCATGACTATTTCGAGATGACACATGTTACGATTTTCAACAAATATACCAAATAGAACAATTTAGCAACATATCCTAAACATGTGTGTACAAAAGGCGTGAAAAGAACCAGAGTTTTGCGCTACAAAAAGCGAAAATAAGGAAAACACGGATAGGAAGACAGATCTTCGTCGTCTTTTTCCTACAGCTAAAAACAGGTGCAACGAGACCGGAAGTTCGCGTATAGCAAAATTTGAAAAATCCAAACATTCAACATACATTAACAACCACATTATTTAAGTCTGTAATTGACGATTTATGGGTACCATGCTTGCTTAAGACACCATTGAGAGTATTTGAGAAAAGCGCCTTATATAGATCTAACGCCGTCTTTGACGTTTCAGTTAGTTGCCATGGTGTTTATGGCATATTTTTGTTGTTTGCTGATATTTTTCTATATAAATTTGTGAAAATGTTTCAATTATATGAGTTTATAACATATTAAAATATCGATTTGTACCTGTTTTATTAAGCTTTTAAACAATCTTGTTACAGAATATTGGGACAATCCACGTTCATATATAAGAAAATCAATGACCGCCCATGGCGCGGAAAATTTTAACCCCAGGGCTTTTATTTGATCAAACTTGAAAATCACCCTCTAGAAGATTTTACATGTTTGATATCTAAACTCTTGCTCTTTTTTTTTGTTTTTAAGAGATGATTTTTTTCGGTTTTTACTATAATCATATAAGGAAACAAATGAACCCAAATTTGACAAATTTTGACCCCAGGGCCTTTATTTGAACAAAACTGGTAGACACTTACTAGCAGATGTTTCATGCCAAATATCAAAGCTCTAGCTCTTTGGGCTTTTTGATGGAAGAATTTTTTAAAGTTTTTTTCTTTTGTTCGCCATGACAACCAGAGTTCTCCATGGATTTTAATTCTTTAAATACTTTAAAAGAAGACGTCGCTTAAAGTAAACATTACGTTTTTTACAATATACATATAAGGAAAATCAATGACCCCCTGGGCGGGCAAAATTTTGACCCCAGGTCTTTTATTTGAACAAAATTGGTAGACACTCACTAGAAAATGTTTCATGGCAAATATCAATGCTCTAGCTATTTGGGGTTTTTAAAGGAGGAGTCTTTTAAGTTTTTTCTTTTGTTCGCCATGGCAACAAGAGTTCTCCATGGAATAAAATTATTTGAACAATTTTAAAAGGTAGGCTGGGTTCCAGTCTGTCGATTTTTATGTGCTTCTGTTCGGCAATTATCAAATCCAAAGATGTTGTGTTATCTATGACGATCGAGTATGAACTAGCGCGTATGTTATGAATAGGCAAAAGATACCAACGCCTGAATCCGTGGCTACACAAAAAGAACAATGCTGTGAAGTGTGGATGAAATTGGCTTTGCCGTTTTTGAGAAGTTGTCGTTTTAAGTAAACATTACCAGACGACGGATGGACAGATGCCTGACGAAATTAAGCGATAA